TTGATTTCGAAAACGCCCTCGACTTTCTCAAGAACGGGCTCTTTGACGTCTACATGGACAATATCGAGCAGCTGATCCAGGACGCCAGCGCCATCAAGCTGCCAAAGTGGAAGCTCGACAAGCTCAAGGGCGAGTGGGAGGCCGAGTTCCGCAAAGGCGACCAGAACCTGAGCGAGATCGACCAGGTCAAGGTCGAGAACCGCCATCTCAAGGAGCAGCTCAAACGCATGGAACAGATGTACCAGCAGCTCAACCTCGAGCACACGCAGCTGGCGAACGAGCTCCTCGAGTACAAGCTCAAGGCCGAGAAGAGCGGGCGATCGTGTCGAGGCGCTCGAGAGCCAGGTCGAGGGCTTCAAGGACCTCCTGGCCCAGGACAGACTCTCGGCCGAAGCCAAGGTCAAGGAGGAGATGGACTACTCTGTGCAAGAAGAACCTGGCTCTGGTTGGGTACAACGACAAGCTGCAGGACGAGATCCAGGTGCTTGAGATGGAGCTCATCAAGACCCGCCAGGAATACGTCGCCGTTTGTCGAGGAGCGCGACGAAATGATCCAGAAATGGGACGGCCTCAAGCGGGTGCTGGGTTAGCGACCGCCGCGGCTGCATTGGGGGCCGTGATGGTTGCTCACGGGTGCGGCCGTGTGCGAGCCGATGCGGTGCCATCGACTGTGCAGTAGCAATTGCATATGTGATCGACTGTGCCGTAGCAATTGCATATGTGATCGACTGTGCAGTAGCAATTGCATATGCGATCGACTGTGCAGTAGCAGCTGAATTTGAGATCGACTGTGCAGTAGCAGCTGAATTTGAGATCGACTGTGCATTTGCATTCGTCTCAGCGTCAGCGTCAACATCAGCGTCAATATCGACATCAACATCAACGCCAAGCTACAATCCGCTCGGGGTATCAACTGCCGGACTGGACTGCGCTCGGCGCTGCTGACATCTGCAATCAACCCCGCGACGTTGTTGATCATCCCGGCTCCAACTCGCCCCGCTCGCACCTCTGCCGACTTGCTGCCCCCGATACATCAATCGCACACCTCCCACGCCCTGTTATCTTTTTACTGTTGTTGCTATCTTATTTTTATTTTTGTTTCAACTGATCCCAGCCGCGCGCCTATTCCCTGAGCCAGCTCTCTCCTTCCACACCCTGCACCGCTGAGCTTCCATCACGATTGCCTCCTTTTTGATTCTCGACGACGCTGTAATCTATCGTATATACACTCAAGTAGTGCCGAACCTACCCCACGATCCATATCCGGGCCGGCTGGGCTGCGGCGGCGGCTCGCGAGTGTTGGCCACCAACGGATCCCCGTGCGCATGCTTATTCCATGCCCACACCAATACCGATGTGCGCATCGTTATCGTGCGAGTTTGCATGCTGTCCCCCTCGTTCTTGATTGCGACCATCGTTGCTGTCCCACTTGGCTCTGGATCATAGGCCCATTTGCACAAAGCACCACACACCATCATCAACCTGTTATTCCGCCAGCCTCATACTTTGCCAACCCATGACTTTGTCAAACACCGTCCCTGCACGACATTGCATCACCAGCATCATCGGCATCACCAGCATCATCGGCATCACAGGCGTCGCTGCCTCTGCCCCTCTCGCTCACACGCTTCTCTGCGCGGTTCTCTGCCCCCCTCGCTGTCCCCGCTGCCCTCGCTGCCCCCCCCGGTGGCGCGGCACAGACTCGATCCGCACTGGAGCCGCGGCTCGATCCGCCGACCGACAAATTTTTTCTTCGCCTTTTCTTGGGACAGTGATCTGCCCGCCCGTTCGGCCCTCATCGCATCCGTCCGTCCGACCCCCATCCCCGGTCGTCCTGGATCATCGTCTGCTGCTGCCCCTCGCCCGTCTCAGAGACATCGCCCGGTCCACCGCGACCTCGCCGCAACCACCGATCGCCCTCGTCTGCTCGTCTGCCAACTCCCTGGCCGTCCAAGCATCTCGCCGCCACTCTCCGCACATCTCGCCGCCGCCAACTCCCCGCACATCATGAGCTCCGATCACATCGACTTTGCCTCCCTGCATCCGCTCTCGCCCGAGGTCATCCAGCGCCAGGCCACCATCAACATCGGCACCATCGGACATGTCGCCCACGGCAAGTCCACCGTCGTCAAGGCCATCTCGGGTGTGCTCACGGTCCGATTCAAGACCGAGCAGATCCGCAACATCACCATCAAGCTCGGCTATGCCAACGCCAAGATCTTCAAGTGCGACTCCGAGGCCTGCCCCCGACCCGGCTGCTACCGCTCGTACCGCTCCGACAAAGAGGACGGCTTCCCCTGCGAGCGCGTCGGCTGCATGGGCAGGATGCGCCTTCTCCGCCACGTCTCGTTTGTCGATTGCCCCGGCCACGACATTCTTATGGCCACCATGCTCAACGGTGCCGCCGTCATGGACGCCGCCCTGCTGCTCATTGCCGGAAACGAATCCTGCCCCCAACCCCAGACCTCCGAGCACTTGGCCGCCATTGAGATCATGAAGCTCAAGCACATCATCATCCTGCAGAACAAAATCGACGTCATCAAGGAGACCGCCGCCGAGGAGCACTACCAGTCCATCCTCGCCTTTGTCAAGGGCACCATCGCCGACGGCGCCCCCATCATCCCGATCTCGGCCCAGCTCAAATACAACATCGACGCCGTCAACGAGTACATCGTCAAGACCATCCCGATCCCACCCCGCGACTTTACCTCCGACCCGCGCCTGATCGTCATCCGCTCCTTCGACGTCAACAAGCCCGGCTCTGAGGTCCAGGACCTCAAGGGTGGCGTTGCCGGTGGCTCGATCCTCTTTGGCTGCCTGAAACTCGGCGACGAGATCGAGATCCGCCCCGGCATCGTCACCAAGGACGCCGAGGGCAAGATCAAGTGCAAGCCCATCTATTCCAAAATCATCTCCCTCTTTGCTGAGCAGAACGACCTGCAGTTTGCCGTGCCCGGCGGTCTGATTGGTGCGTATGGCGGCGGCGGGGTGCATTGTAGCATCGTGCAGTATCGCTCGGGACTGTGCAGCATCGTGCAGCATCGTGCAGCATCACTCAGCATCGTGCAGCATCACTCAGCATCACTCAGCATCGTGCAGCGCCGTGCGTTGTCTGCCGTACTTTGCTCTGATCAGGTCTGGTTGCGCCCCGCTGACATCACTGCTAACTTGACACTCACTTCATCGGATGTCCCCTTATCACGGGCATCGCTGGCATTGTTGAACGCACCTGGATTCCGCTTTGCGACTCCCCACGCACAACTCGGCCAATGCAATGCCGTTCTCGCCCCTACTCGTCGACGGTCCACTGGCATCTCGCTCTGGCGACATGCATTCATGCACCTGGATCCATGCACACGCATCCCTTCGTGTCCATCGCCGGCACTATCGATCGATGCAGGTGTTGGCACCAAGGTTGACCCCACTCTCTGCCGTGCCGATCGCCTCGTCGGCCAGGTCCTGGGTTCGGTCGGCAAGCTGCCCAAGATCTACACCGAGCTCGAGATCAACTACTTCCTGCTCCGCCGACTGCTTGGTGTCAGAACGGACGACAAGAAGCAATCCAAGGTCTCCAAATTGACAAAGAACGAAGTCTTGATGGTCAACATCGGCTCGACCTCGACCGGTGGCAGAGTCATGAGCGTCAAGGCCGATCTGGCCAAGATTCTCCTCACCAGCCCGGCCTGTACCGAGATCGATGAGAAGATTGCCTTGTCACGACGTATCGATTCGCACTGGCGGTAAGTGTAGGGGGGCGGTTGTCAATGTGCAATGGATGGGACTCGAGTGTCCAGAGTCTCATCTGAGACGTAAGGACGAGATTTGCCTCGCGATTTTGCCGTGTCTGGTGGATGGGTGGAAGAATGCGCCTCACCACGACGTTAGTTCCGCTGACCACTGATTTGATTATTATCCCTATCGCGGCTCAATTCCCATGTGCACTCGCCATTGGACCCCGCCGCCGCCAACTCAATGCACCCCTCATGTGGCCTCCTCGGGTTCTCTGTCGATCGTCCGGCAGTCTGATCGGATGGGGCAAGATCAAGCACGGAACCACCATCGAGCCCGACATCTAAACTCCACCCCCACACCCTCGCGAACGATGTCTCAATGCAAGGGCAGCCAGAGCAGCCGTGCACACATCGCCCATACTCTCTCTCCCCTTTTAGTGTTCACCTCCACGGCACTAGCACCAGCATGATGACCTCCTCGCACAGAGCCACCCCCAACTACCACACCCACCACAGCCCTGTCTCTTCTGTCCGTCACCCGGAATCCTGCGCGAGCGAGGATGAGGTGTTGTGTGCGCGATGAAGCACCCGTTTGATACGACGATGATGTGTTTGATGTACAGTTCATTCATACAGCCCTCTCAGCAAAACGTGATGGCCCAGATCACCTCCAGGAGGCACATTGCGTTGGGCAAGCCTGGGGTGGCCATCTCTTGCCCGATCGAGCGTGGCGGATGCGTGAGGATGCTGTGGATGGCTCCTTGCCAGTTTGTTTCTGGCAACGACACCGGCGGAGGGAGGACGGCGCCATGCCGGCGATGCGCATGTCGCAGCCGCCAAAGCTGCAGCAACAGCAGAGACACACAAGTCCATGGAAGTTGAAGGGACAGGTCTGTGAACAGTGCGGCCGCAGGAGGAGATGGAGCGAGCGGCCCTTGATTCGACAGCGCCACACGGTGGCACAAACGGCCACCCGACCCCTGATTGGAGGCGGCGACTTGATACCCCTCCTTCTCCAATGCGATCTTCAACCCGGCAGCGCCCCATATCTGGCTTTCCGCCGCAGCCACAGATACCCTGCGTGCCCACACAAAGTATGCCAGACTCGGTCGGCCACTCCGATTGGATGTGTGTTCTGGAGTGTTCTGCGCAGTGCAATATCCTCGACAGCGCAGCGGTTGTGATTACTTTGATCATCGTGTGGCTTGGATATCTGAGGTATATAAGGCACACTTTGCTGGTCTCTCCGGCCGAGACACCACAGCCCACTCTCGAGTCCGCCCTGAGGTTTGCCTCCAAGTTTGAACAGACCAAAGTCTCCTCGGCCATCGCTCAGCACAGTCCAAACACCACATCCAAGCACCACATCCAAGCACCACATCCAAGCACCACTTCCAAGCACCGCATCCAAGTGTCACATCCAAGTGCCCACGCTTGTCCGGTCTCTGCCTCTCCGTCGCATTCAACGATTTCCAAGTCGCTGTCCTCTCCCTCTCCCTCTCCCTCTCCCTCTCCCGCCGACTCTGGCTGCTTTTGACCCCCGCTTGTCGTTGCCATCCCGCTGTTATACTTGTCTGTCCAGAATGGTTTCTTGCCCTGTTTCCGGCTGCCAGTCCCGCCAAGCGCAGAAGCTTGGCAGACACAGTGGCTGCGGTGGTGTAGTTTATGTTTGTGGTGGCGACATGGGCCACAAGTTTTGTAAGGGCTGTGGCGACAACAGAGTGAGGGCCAAGGATATTCAGTGAGAAGGCGATTCTGGATACTGAGTGAGGCGGTGATTCTGGATATTGAGTGAGATGGCGATTCTGGAATACAATGCTTGAGCCCAAAGACAACGACACCACTCCGAGTCGAGGCCATTCAGCCGCAGATGAGACGCAGCCACAATCATCGGGGTCCCGGTGGGGTGGAACAGGGCCAGTGCTGCTTATTTGTTGCTGCTTGCTGCTCGCTGCTCGCTCATCACCGCTCGTTCGTCAAGCAGACAGTATCGCACTTGTTTTGGAACGCGAGCTTGTCCCGAGAGCGGATGCACAAGCGAGCATAGCTGCACTTGTCTGCTCTCGATGAAGGCTGGGCGGCATCTCGATCCCACGCCTCTCGCCAGCAACCAGACAAACAATGAGTATCTGCCTCCCCGATATCGTCATGCGATCACGAATGGCAATCAATCAGCGATCCAGTGGCAATCAATCAGCAGCCAATCAGCATTCAATCAGCAGTCAATCAGCAGTCAGTCAGCCATCCAGTGGCCTTGCAGGCGTGGAGGTCAAGTTATGTTGGATCGGATCTGCTCCCCTGTACCAACTGTGGACAGCGTTGATTCACGATCGAGTCGCACTGCCTCTGCCAATCGAGTCGGGCAGCTTCTGTCAATCCCTCAACGATTGCGTGCCATCCGCCTATATTTCCGTCCAGCGCTGACCCAGTCGGTCAAGCCGTGATCGAGGCGTCGATTAGGTCCGCAAATCCTCTCGCTCGCAACCTCAACAACGAGAAGTCGCCTTGTCTTGTTATTGACCTCAAGCCCTCAGCGACCTGAGTGGAACGAATACAACGACGATAGTGCTGGAACAGTGCACATATACAGTCGATCCAATCAAAAACGGGACACCCGTGATTTTGACGATTGATCAAATATTTTGTTTCGCGCGCTGGCCACGACCATTCTGTGATTTGAATCAAGGACGACATTGTGGGAATCGCTTCCAGCTCAAGATGCGCTGGATGAGCACCACACCAAGTCCCAAGATCCCCGGGGAGGCTTCCTTCTTGCGATACATTCGCCATGTGTTTGATGGAGACATGCTGGACAAACAGCTGTACTTCAGCCTGACCCGGCGACGGCGATTCAAGCGACTCGATCTCCACAGCAAGCGCACCGTCCACGAGATCTGCAAGCGAGTCATCGACCAGGCACCAAGGGAGACCGAAGTGGTGATTGCCTTTGGGAATGCATCCTGGAAACAAGGGAAGGGATACGCATCCAGTCCCAGGAGACTCAGGTTCGCCAAGTACTTTGAGCAGTTCATACACCACCAGAGACGACCACCAGACCGATCCGTCTCCAAGATCCGTGTGTGCTCGGTGAACGAGTTCAACACATCCCAGGTGTGCTCACATTGCCGGGAATTCAAGCGACTTGAGTCACCCGAGTATCTTGATGTCGAGAAGCCACATTATGTACGGAGCTGTGCAAGCTGCCATACGCTGTGGGATCGAGACATCAATGCAGCCAGGAACATGATCTCGGTATGCCAGTCGATCATCGCCACAGGAGATCGACCGAATGTATTCAAGACCATGCTTCCAAAACCAACCAAAACCACTCGATTGCCAACCAAGACAGGAGTGCAATGCCATGGCCTGCCCGCTGGGCCTACAGTCAGTCAGCGGGGTTCAGACATCTGAAGCCAGAAAGGAACTGTCCCGTTTCTTTCTGGACCGACTGTACAACGACCCCCCACAAACAAGTAAAAGAGGAAAGCGCCTCAAGAGCGGATTCAAGATTCATTGGAAGTATCATATTCATAGAGTATTGTTTGACAGATTTTAGGATCGCGGGGAGCGGGGGAGGAGGGAGTAAACCTGATAATATCAGTCAGTGCTGCTTCGGGGCACCGCTTCGGGACACCAACACGCATCACAGCGAATATGTGCACTGCAGCTTGCATCGATTCTTTGTCCTTAAAGGTCGTGTGTATCGCTTCAGAGCTTTCTCAAATGATCCAGTGGGACATAGCCACGCTCGCTCTTATCGCTCTCGACCAGGGCCCAGCCGTCGGGCATCTCCTGCAAGACCACCACTCGCTGGTGGATTGTGATATCGATCTCCTCAGGCTCGACAGCGGCCCGAGTTGTGGTTACTTCACGAAAATCAAGCTTGGGAACAGAGACGTATGAGGCCGGGCGTGCCACCGAGCCAGATGCTGCGCTGAGGACCGACGAGCGGTTTGGTCCGTTCGGGACGATTATGGGCGAGGATGTGGCTGAGTACGGAGGAGGGAAATCTATGGCTTTCGGTTGTATAGCCAAGTCGCGGGGCGGTTGGTCGACTTGCAGCGAGGGCGATCGGGGCTGTGAGGGCCCGGAAGGAGCGTCAGGATGTTGATAGGCGCCGGTGTGCTTTTCCAGGTCGCGAAGTCGAGAGGGATGGTCTCGTGGGATACTCAGGTTGCTGGCGGTGCTCTGGCGATTCGCTTCTCGATAGGCATCATTGATGGCGGATGTTCTCTTTCGGTTTCTGATGCATACCACGATTATACCAGTCAGCACAATGCAGCCACCACCGATTGATGCCGCCGTGATGATGGTACTCGAGCCGACGGAGTCGTTGGAGGAGGCATCAGGAGTAGAAGGCGTATTGATCGGGGCGGGGGCTGGCTGAGGAGGAATAATCCCCTGGGTCTGGATGGGACGGCCGCCGGGAATCGTGGTGATGATTTCGGGAGGGGGTGGAACATTGGTAACGATAGGCTGGGCGACGCATGTTGACGAGGGTCAGTGCAAGGAATCTTGACCTCACAAGTGATGATATATCGCTCGCCAATACCGGACGCAGACAGCTCACAAGTCATACCTGTGATCTGGTGGTAGGAGCGGGCGGTGGCGACGGCGGTAGCGGCGGTGGAGGAGGAGGAGGAGGAGGAGGAGGAGGAGGAGGAGGAGGAGGAGGAGGAGGAGGAGGAGGAGGAGGAGGTGGAGGAGGTGGAGGAGGTGGTGGTGGTGGTGGTGGTGGAGGAGGGGGAGGGGGCGGAGGAGAGCCACCGATCACTTCGACTCGGCTCCGAAAGCCGTCGCAATCGACAGCACCGCCCCGGAAGACGCAAGTTCCTACAAAGAAAGTGCCTGGCTTTGCGTTTCCTGGAATGTTCACAACAACTCTCTCGTTCGGGATGCTATTCATGCCTTCGCTCGACGCGATCGAGTAGTTGGGTGGATCCCGAGCCATGGCGCTTTGACCCTGGTGACGGCTCATTTAGCATCGCAGATATTGTGCTGGGGAATCGATTGATCGTGATTCGGAAAGAATGCCAAGGTACTCACCCACATATGAACGTCCAGCACATACTGTCCTTCGGCTATGGCCCCTGCGCCGTTAACGGTGACAACGTAGGAATGCCCGGTGATCCAGATGCCCTAGATGGTATGAAGTGGTTACCAGTCAGCAATACACATCCACTGTCCAGCTCGCAGCAATTTCTGGCGACAGCGCTGCAACAGCAACCGGAGGAGTTGCTGTTTCCTGCGGATGGACTGTGCTGACCTCGGTTATAGTGACCGTTGGGGAGGATCCGCAGCATATGAACAGCGCGCTGCTGAACAGCAACAAGCGCAGCAGATGTTGCATATTTATGAGCAAATGCCGCATGGCTTCAGCGGATGTCCGAAGGACTACGCTCTGATTCGGGAATAGATTTGCTCCGAGAGTCACGCCGTTGGCGAGAGAGGAGAGCAGCGACAAGCGGTCGAATCTTTTTGAGGACGATGCGGACTGTGAAGCCGACGCTGCGATGTATTGCGAAGCGAGGGGAGGGAGCCGGCATTGGATATCGGGTGATTCAGCACGACGGATCGCGGATGGTGCATCCCAAGTCTCGATATGGGAAAGCCTCGAGCTTGTGTTTCAAGATTGTGACACCAGATGCTTGCTGCGGGCAAAGGCATCCAGCCCATGGGCACAGTGTGCTTGGTAAGCGGATGCTCCACCTGAAACACAAGGCTGGCTGAGGCGAGTCATGTTGCTTGGGTGGCGAGCGTTGAATGTCAACAGCGCCATACATCGACCACAACGGTGAATGGCTTTCACTCCGAGTGACCCGCATCGTTGCTCCTGTGTGCCTCAGCCGTCGGTCATCGGAGACTGACTTTGTTGGATGCAGGCTCTGAAAAGCTACCAGTCCGATCGAAACGGGACAGAGCCCCGACCCTCCTGAATTGAGTGCCTGGGCGACGGATTGTCCCAAGTCGAGGCAGCAGTTGGAGAGCCTGCCTCTGACCTGAGCATTGGCCAAGGCCCTGGTATTAGAGCCACGTTGCGAGCGAGGGAGAGAGGGTGCGCATTCTCTCGGTCCATCGCGCTTGAGGATCTTGATGGATACCGATTGCTGGGATGCCAAGGACAACTATACGGGTCGACGAGGGTCGATGGATGGTAGTAGCTGTTCGGGAGCAGGAATGACTCGAGTTGGCTTGATAATGACGGGATGAAAAGGGCTCTGACTCCAAAACGCAACTCCGTTTGATGGCAGAACAGCACGGCTCAGCCAGTTTCCATAGAGCGCGTGGGGGACCTTGACGCTGTGACAGCCGTGGCAGATCCATTGTGCGGCATGTTCGATTTCGGTCCATTTGGTTGAGAGTGGCTCTACCGATGCAGCAGAGAGGTCGGAGAAACCATTGCCGCAACGAACAAACAGATCGCCTTGTCGAGCCCAGAATATTTCTTCCCGTTTGGAGCGGGACATGATCCGCTCTCCATCTGAAGAAACGATCACATTGCTCACCCAGCTTGTGTGGCCCTCGAGGGTGTGCATTATTTGCCCCGAGATGATATCCCATATTTTGATCGTCCTGTCGCCCGAGCCCGAGACGATCTGTTTGCTATCTGGTGTGATGGCCACGACATACACGGTATCTGTGTGTCCTTTGAGGGTGTGCTTGAGCTGGCCCGTGGCGGCATCCCACAGCTTGACGACAGTGTCGCTGGAGCCCGATGCAATCGACTTGCCATCGGGGGAGATCGTCACGGAGATCACCATCGATCGGTGGCCTTTGAGAGTATGCTTCAGCAGGCCTGAGGCACCGTCCCACACCTTGACGGTGTTGTCACTAGCGCCAGAGATGATCGATACTCCGTCAGGCGACACGGCTATGGAATTCACCGACCATGTGTGTCCCTCGAAGGTATGCTTCGGCTGGTTCGGAGTCGCATCCCACAACTTGATGGTGTTGTCATCCGAGCAAGAAACGATGGTCTTGAGGTCGAACGAGATGGCCAGCGAGTGCACCGATTTTCTGTGTCCCTCATAGGTATATATCACTTGACCTGTGAGGCAATCCCACAATATGACTATACCATCAACCGAACCAGAGACAATCCACTGGCCATCAGATGAATTGGCCACACATCGAACATCGCTGGTGTGCCCCACAAGAGTATGTTTCTCCTGGCCTGTGGTGGCGTCCCACACCTTGATGGTTTTGTCATCCGATCCTGATATGATGCATTTCCCATCGGGCGAGATCGTCACGGAGGTTACACCCTCCGCATGCGCCGCGACGTTGCGTTGTACCTGGCCCGTCGTGAGACCCCACACCTTGATAGTCTTGTCAGATGAGCCAGAGGCGGCCCACTTGCCATCGGGTGAAATCGCGACAGAGTTCACACTGTCCGTGTGCCCTTCGAGAGTGTGCTTCAATTGGCCAGTGGCGGCATCCCACATCTTGATGGTTTTATCCTTTGAACCTGACACCAGCAACTTGCTATCAGGTGAAATGGCCACACAATTCACACCCTCTGTGTGTCCTTCGAGAGTGCGTCTTAACTGGCCAGTAGTGGAATCCCACAACTTGATGGTGTTGTCATCAGAGCCCGATATAATCCACTTGCCATCAGACGAGATAGTCACCGAGGTCACCCAATCTGCATGGCAGCCAAGAGTGTTCTTCGGCTGACCAGTGATGGTATCCCACACTTTGATGGTCATGTCCCAAGAGCCAGAGACAATCCACATCCCGTCGGGCGAGATCGCCAGAGAGGTCACAGAATCTGTGTGTCCATCGAGTGTCATCTCGCACGGATCCCAGGTGGGTGCTGGACCCGTCGTGACCAGGAACGGGATCTTGTCCTCGAGTTGGTCGGCATATGTCTTGTAGATCGTTGTCTCCTTTGGTGTGAATGCATACCCCGAGTTGTACACCTGTGGTGCACTCTTGATGACGGGATCGGCAAACTCGCGGATGAATCGATACGTGTCCTTGACCAGTTCCTTCGTGGTGTCGTCGACGATGGTGCTGGGTGCCTTGGCGACCACTCCTCGCAGCACAGCCAGTTGCTCGATGATCGGCTTGACCACATGTGTGAGCGACCCACACTCGAGCCAGAAGAACACATGTGTCTTGACGAACCGAGTGAGCACCGCTGCAGCATCGACAGTCTCGGCCGACTGCCACACCGGACTCGACTCGGCCACGCCTTCCACACACCACACAAAGTGTGTGATCCAGTGGGCGACGCTGTATCGCTGCGACGGTGTGATCTTGGCTGCGACCCTGTCCTCGAGGTCAGCGATCTTGTCGTGAAAGTCGTAGATCTCGCAGATGTTGACCACTGGCTCGTGCGAGAGGATCGCTCCGAGACATCCCTTGGCAAACACCGTGTGGAACGAGTCCGACACATGCCACGGATGGCCAGCCGATGCATCGCCGAGGAGATAGTCCGCCACCGACTTGTGGTTGAACTTGACCTCGGTGTTGGTGGACTGGCTGTCTCGGGGGCCCAATCTATTGGCGCCAGGATCGAGGACCAGGCTGAGGCTCTTGAGACACTCGCGAACGACGCCGATCTCGAGTCCAAACACATCGGCGATGATCTGCGGGGTCAGGATCGACTGGGCTGTGGCGATGGCCGACACCACCGTGACCAGCTCGGCCGGATGGCTCGACTGCGAGTGGATCTTGGCGAATGTCTTGTGATACAGCTGCCCGACATCGGCGGCGCTGTCGTTGATGTCCTTGATCGTGGCGAGTGTCACTGGGCCGTCTGTGGATGCTGCGTCGACGGTGTTGAGGATCAGGTTGATCCACACGAATGTCTTGGACTGGTCCAGCAGGATGGCGACTGCCTCGATGCGGTCCGACTCGCTGAGAGTGTCATACACTCGCAGTCGGTGGCGGATGAACACCTCGAGGTCACGGACGTTCTCCTCGCTCGAGGGCTCGATCGTCTTGGTCGGGACTCCATCGAATGCTGCCTTGATATCGTCCTCGGGACGGGATGTCAGCAGCAGCTTGAGCCACGGACGGGTCTTGTTCAGTTCGACGAAGCGCCAGGCAAGCAGGCTGAGCAACTGGTCGCGCGGAGAGCACTCGTCGAGTGCATCCACCAGGATCATCACCGATCCCTTGGGTCTGTAGTCGCCGATGGCTTCGAGTGGATCGGCAATCACGGCCTTGAACAGGTCCGGGATGCTCATCTTGTCGAGACTGTCCTTGGTGTGGCCAGCCTCGAGCAGCTTGCGGCCGATCGGCGAGTGCCACTTGCACAGTCCATATGCGATGGTGTTCAACACCACTCGTGGATCGCTCTTGCGAGTGTCGTTGTACTTGAGGAACAGCGCCGACACCAGCTGGTTGCTGGCTGTGAGGATGTTGGCGATCTGGGCGGCAGCGACAGACTTCCCCACTCCAGCAACAGCATTGACCCACAGGACAGTGTCGGTGGTGTCCTGGTTGACCCAGTCGGTTGTTTGGTCGAACAGCCACTGGCGGGTGCCCTCGACATACAGATCCTCGAGTGCTCGTCTGTCGGAAGTGGAATCGATCGGATCGAGGAGGGATCGCAGGAGCGAGTCTTGCTCGGCATCAAGTTGGATGGGCCCGCCTTGGTGGTATGTCACTCCTTGGTCTGCAGCAGTCTTGGTCTTGGTGACAAGCTCTCGAAACGCAGGAACGAGTCTGGAAGCACCATGAGTCAGCAATAGGAATGAGTTGCTGCTGAGGGACATTCACACTTACTGTCTGAGAGCGGCTGTATCGACAGCCTTGAGTGCTTGGAGTTTGAACAGCTCCTTGAATGTCTGCTGGACGGTCATCGGCTGATTATCGAAGAGTGGACTGGATTTGTGCGCCGGAGGAAAGTCAGGGAACTTGGTAACTGGCGGAAAATACTCCTTCTTGAGGGTCTCGTCGCCGAACTTGCGAGTGGACCACATGAGGACAGGCTGAACGATGACGGGGTGGTCGGTGGCGGCGGTGTCTTGCATCAGCTTGAGGGCATGCTGGATCTGTGGATGGACGAGTGAATGTGAGTTATGGTTTGACAAACGAGACCACGATCAGCACCCGACCCACCTCGAGGAACTGATTGTCGGGCCAGACATGTGCGTTGAAGGTGCGCTTCAGACCGTCCTCGGAGAGAATGACGATGATGACGCAGGACTTGTAGAGACCGTTGATGAAACCCTGCTCCCAGTCCATGCCGTTGCAGAGACACTGGATGTCGAGGTATGGATGGAGCGCCGTGTGGCCTCGAGGGGTTGTGGCCAGGGTCCCATGCAGCGACGATGCATTGACAGCGTCGCTCTCGACCCGGTAGCTGTGGAAGGACGGTCGGTCAGTTGGTGCGGAACAGGCGAATATGGTGTCGCTCTGATGCTGGATATCAACGCCACCTGATGAAGACTTCGTGAGACGTAAAGTTGTTCTGGCAGACCCAGCCATCCAGAGGGTGCGCTGGAACGTAGTCGTTGGCAGTGAGGACTCTGGTGGGCTCCTGAACGCTGATACCTGGCTGGGAAGCGGCCGGCAGCGGAGCAGCTGTGGACATGTTCTGGGCGGAGGATTTGCTCTCCCGCTGAGCATGTTTGAGTTTGTTGATTGTGCCAGGCTTGAGCCCTATTTCCTTCATCTCATCTTCAGTCATCCTCACGATCTATAAGACCAGAGGATCAGCCGCCGCTACTAACATATTTTGATTCAGGGGCAATGAAACTCACTGAGTCGATCGTGTCGTAATCATTGTCCAGCAAAATTTGCTTGCTCTTCTCCAAATGATATCGACAGAGGAAGGTCTCCAAGTCGCCTGTTCCGGGCAGACAGCTTGTTAACAGCTGAGCTCCACACTACCTAGTCCTACCATGCCTTGGACTCACCCATGGCTGTATCGCCCAATTTCGCGTAATTGGGAAGAACGATGTTGGGCACCTGGAATGAACAAAGCGAGAGAGGGAAGCGAAGGCTTATCCAGATCGACCCTCTTATTTTGAAACTGAACACTTTCCCACACGGATGACTGGCTGCTTACGTGGCTTGCATGGCTTGTGTGAATCAGACGACTTTGATTGGCACTCCGATATCATCCGCTCGCCGGGGTCCTCCGGCCATTTTTTCTCCTTGCCCTGCATCTTTTTGCCTCATCCCAGGTAGGTCTTCTTGCTCTGACTTGCAGTGACTGCATCCGCAGCGGTTCGCGGTCCCTCGTCGTGCCCACTCACTCCATGTATCTCCCTCACTCAGGGAAATGACTTGACCCACTTGACCGGGTGTGTGATATGATCCGACTGTGTTTGTCCGAAAATGACGATGTGTCCCGTTTTTTTCTTCAACACGCTGTCGATACTCTCTCCCGAGCCATTGACACAATAGATATTGAAGTGCCGACATGCGCTGGGAAGGGATGGATGCTTGCTGGATCAGGCGGATGGAAGCGACAGAGTGGTCGATGGTGGGAATGATGAACACGACAAGCACTTGATCCATGGATCCAGCCTGGTTCTTGGTTTGTTGGTGTTGTCTCTCATTGTTTTGTTCCGTCTCCTCTCATCACATCTCTCATCACATCTGGTTGCTCTGGACGCCTCCCTTGCCACTCCACTGCAGCTCCATTGCCACTCTCATCGCATCCCACTCCTCCACATTGCCCCCATGGCTGCCAGTGTCCATCCCACAGCCGATATGGCTCGCCTTGCCATCGACAGCCACGACCCAGACATCTTCACCATCATCTGCTTCAACGACAGCTTCCAGCTCGCACTCGACCACGCCGCCATCAAGACTCTCCTCCGAGTGTGCAAGCGGGCCCGGCCTCTCCTGAGCTCCAAGCTGCCTCGCTTCCACAACTGGTGTCAGAGTATGGAGCTCCTCAATCCAGATGGACAGTTGCGGATCGGCCTCACGCCGAGCGACGAGATTGCCATCTCACTTCACTGCGAGGGTCAACAGACGGCCGACCGAATCTGGCTCGATATTCAAGCAGATCAAGGCAATGCTGCTGCCTCGTATCTCCTCGCCCGGATCCTCCAAAGCAAAGTCTCCCGACGACAGACCGATGACTCTCCCGACTGGGACACCATCCACCAGCAAATCACCACTCTCCTGCAAACGGCCGCAGACAACAACCACCCCATGGCCCAGTTCCATCTGGCCGAATGCTATTACCAATGTCTCGGAGTCGACCAGGACCATGCCAGGGCTGCCGAGCTGTATCGCCAGGCAGCCATCCAAGGATATCCGCGAGCTCAAGTCGGACTCGGTCGCTGCTTCGAGGGAGGCGAAGGTGTCGATCAAGGCTTTGACTCAGCCATCGAATGGTATTCCAAGGCCGCCGACCAGGGCAGCGAGGATGGTCGACTCCATATCGTGTTCCTCCGAGCCTGGTTCTCGTTCATCGGCCATGGTGTCGAACAGAGCGACGCCGATGCCTTCCACCACTGGCAGGAAGTGAGCACCCAGTCCACCGACCCGGTCCTCAAACTCATCGCCACCCACATGCTCGGGTGGATGCACTACCTTGGCCGAGGCACCATGCGCAACAAGCAGAAGGGCGTCAAGCTCATCCGCGACAACATGTCAGACGACTTTCTCCTCTGGGAGAGCAACTGTCTGTCCGTGTGGTCTCCCATATCATCCACAACCGCGGCGGCACGCAAGTTCTTCGATCTGTGCCAGCTCGGATCCGATCGAGACTGGCTCTGCAGATATCTGATGGCCGTGTGTGTGTTCCAAGGATTCGGAACCACCGAGGACGAGAAGAAGGCAGCTGGTATATTCGAGCAACTCGCCAACGACGGTCACAGCGATAGCCAATTGCGGATCGGAGGGTGCTACTACTGGGGTCGCGGAGTGTTGGTAGACAGCCAGAAGTCATTCGAGTGGTATAGCAAGTCGGCCGACCGAGGCAATTCGTATGGACAGTGGTGGGTTGGTGTGTGCTATTCCAACGGATACGGAACCGCCAAGGATGTTGCCAAGGCAGTAGAGTGGTATCGCCGGTCGGCCGAGCAAGGAAATCGATACGGACAGTGCTGGATCGGTTTCCGCAGCGAGATGGGCTATGGTGTCCCTGAGAACGTCGACACTGCCGCCTTTTGGTATCGCAAGTCAGCCAACCAGGGTTACGATTGGGCCATGGACAGCCTTAAGGACATCGACCAGTGGCCCTGATCCCCGAGTCCCTCCCGAGTGCAACTTCTAACGCTCAAGTCACTCCAGCCAAACATGCAACCAGAGCAGCCGAGCAGCCACGCCGTTTTCACCATCCCAGCAACCACGGTCCCAAACAGCAGACTTGCGGGACGGTACCATGTGGCAGCAGCAGTTCTCGAGGGGCACTGTATTTGACATTCAATATATCACGATATACAAAGTGATGCTGTCCCATGAGCGGTGGCTCAGGTTGGCAGATCATGAAACACCGACCAATTTCCCGAATCTGCATGGAGACACGCGGCACTCGATCTGAAGCCATACTTGCGCGAATGTATTTGCATGACCCAGATCACCATCGCCACGTCGCTGTGGGTATCTAGCACCGCCGATATCCTCCCAGAGTCGCCCGACGTCGACTGAGGTCACCGAGAGGAAGGGCCGGGGAGAGGTCAGGGAGGCGCTCCGTCTTGGGCTCGCTGTCGGCGAGGGTCGAGAGGTCGGGCAGCAGATCTTTCCTGAGATTCCGCTTGGCAATCTCCTTGTTCTTCTGCAGACAGTATGTCTCCTCGATCAGGGCTATCTGTGCCTCTGACTCAGCGTGCTGGTCAGTCAGACGGACACGGAGCTCGGCACCCTCTTCCCCGTCATATATGTCGGACTGGTCCCACAGGTCGGTTGAAGATATGTGAAGCAGTACCATCCGAGGCTGGGTGAGAACGTGCACCGTACTGAGACACCCTCGTTCGCCTAGCCCGGCTTCGTGCTGCCGAGGCAAGACTCTTTGCCAGCATGCTCACCAGTTTGATCTTGAGGTACTCGCCCTTCATCGCAGCGACAAACGAAACGTCTGTGGGTGCATGGATGTCCGGCGAGATATACGGAAAGGAGTCGCCCGATTTGAGAGATCGGATGCTGAGCAGCTTCTCCTTGACATGATCCGAGTCCCTGTACAGCGACTGATATTCATCGCTGCGAAGCCTGACCAGCTGGTAGTTGTCGTCGTGGCGGGTGAGATATATGACCTTGATAACGTCGACGGTTCCTGTGAGAATGATGTACAGATACCGGATGGGGTCGCCTGTGGGGTCGCAAGATCGACGCCGATGGTCAGGGCCGTGCATCGAATCGACGTCATGCACTGCCATCTGTGCATCGCAAAGGTCTAGGAAGCGGAGAGCCATCGCCAGAACAATCAGCACCTTGGGTCAAAACAACTTGCTTGGCATCGACAAAGACGGTCTCGCATGCTTGGGCGAAAAACGACATGGTCCTCCACGAGCATCCGCTGAACAACGGCAGTGTCTGGAAGAGCTCGATGATGAGATCGGCCTTTTTGACCGCATGACCCTCGATGTCCATGATCTCCAGAAAGTCGTCGCCCCCAATGTGCATCATGGCACAGTCGGATTGGCAAACGATGGTGTTTGGGCGTCTGCGGACCTACAGGAGAATCGTGTGATATGTGACGTGTACTTGACACAACTGATATGTGGACAAGCTTCGAGTAGTAGCAGTGCATGGTGGTCCATGGCAGTATATTGTGGTGTATGGCAGTATATAGTGGTGCATGGTGGTGCATGAACTTGTCATGTGGCGACTTACCGTCTTGTCCTCGACCGAGAATTCGGTCTCGCCGATCATGTCGCCGGGTCGGAAGAAGTCTTTGTTGTCGGCTCCGGCAGCCTTGCACTGTGGTCCAAGCATCAGTATCAACCACGACAGCAGCATGACTCACTTCGCACCGCACCCATTTCCCACCCGAGCCACGCCAGCCATCCGCATACCTGTCCCTTGATCAACAGATAACAGCCTTCGGCGCGATGGCCCTTGCGAAACAGCACCGTCCCAGACGTGTGCATTTCAAGCGTCATCCGGGCAATCAGCATTTCCCTGATCTCGTCCGTGAACCGCATAGTCCATCCTGGAACGGCATTGAGAGTGTTTTTGAGCTTCTTCCAGTCCTCGTTTGTCCATGTAAACTGGGGCCGCGCAAACAGCGCTCGGACCTCCATCGAGAGCACCGTGCTTTCCCACATTCCCGATAACCCATGGCAGACTTCGGCGCCGTCATGTTGGAGCGAGCACTTGAATGCCCGGGCAGTGAGCCATATGATGATGGCTCGCCGCACAGCCGCCTTGAACTTTTTGATTGTCGCCGAGGATCGCTGGCTGCCCGTGATGGATAGCTGCAGGTACTGACGAATGGACATGCCGAGGCTCTGGAGGCGGGATGATATTGTCGGCTTGGGTGCGGTGGTCAGTTCCAGGAGGTCAGTGACGATGGACTTTCTCCTCGGCAGGACGCTATCCTCGCTGGATGAGGGTCTCTTGGCTGCATCGATGAGGCACGAGATATCGTCATCCGAGCCCAGCATTTCAGCATATTTCTTGAGCTTGACGAGCAGTCGTTGCTCGAGATTCATGGAGTCATCGTCGCCAACTGTCTTGGATCGTACTTTCAAGTGGCTTGGTCGTCTTTCTTCTGCCAGCACCGAACGTTGACTCGCCTCAAGAGTTGTCTGCGAGCTCCGTGAGGCTATAGCCGATGCACGGCGAGACACCTCCGGAGCAAGAGGCACTATTAGCCCCTCATGAACGGGAGTGGTGATGCCACTTGCCCGCCGTCGGGGGGTGCGCTGTGGGCTTGGAGTCCCGGTGTCGGGGTCCAGAACAGCACTATCGCTGCGGGTACGGATCCTTGGCTGGCTGGGATGCAGCAGCTCGGCTTCGGCCTTGACGATCCCAAGGGACGTGCGTCGGAATGCAGCCCTCGGTAGCGTCGCCGGAGAGGCTGGAGAGGCTGGGGGATGGATCATCAACGAAAGGCGCCGGCTCGGATTGATCTCGGGAAGCTTGTCGACACTGTTCGTGGTTTGGTACAGATTTGAGTCGGGGACATCTGGGTGGTTCCTGTCATATATCTGCTTGAGCGGGTTTGACCTGGTGGACAGAGTGGACAGAGTGCGCGGCGACGAAGGATCCATTGTGGTTGCTGGTGGTCACCAACAAACTGGTCTGGTCGAGGTGGCTGGCAGTTTTGTTCTTCGCAGCAGTGAGAGCTGGGTTACTTCTGCTCGACTGTTCCGTCGAGTTTGTCCGTGCTGATCAGTGCGACTCGATATTTGGGCAAAGTCGATCGCTCGGTGCCAGAGTCCAAGAGGCTATTGATGGCATCTACCGATTAGTCGATATCAACCAGCGGAGGTGCACGAGACTCCGTGGTGCTGCTGCAATAGAAACGTTGACTATATCAGACGGAGCGACAGGCACCCCGAAGCACCTGAACGAGGCGGCAGAATCGAAAGTGACTGGAGAAACGCAAGAGTGTGTACCAGATCGATGCCAGCAGGACCAACTGCGAACATCGGCGGTCGATCGGCGTATGGCGCAAACTTGGCCGCTCTCCGAGAGCTCGTTGAGAAGAGGCGCCTGGCTCGGCATCCCAATACGAAGCAATCTTTGAGCAGTGCAGTTTGTTGGTCGCTGACTCTCGATTGGTTGTCGGCCGCGAGTACTTTGCCCAGTGTACCAGCCATATACCCGCAGGCGGCTTCCCATCGATCACTTGCCCGTAACAATCATTTGGGGCCGTGCAGGCAGGACGGTTGTTCCGAGCTACACAATCGGATTGCATCGGTGCGGACAGCCGAGTAATTCAGAGTCACTGTTCCTCCGAAATGCAGCCACTGTTCCTCCGAAATGGAGTCATTGGGCTCTAGCGCATTCTTCCGGCGCAGAGTTTGGCGATTCAAGTCGTGGCTGTGATTGGTTACTGCTTCAATGGGTTTGGAGCACAGTAAGAGCGACATATTGTCGATTGCAGCAAATGAAAGGTTGGAGTGCACGCATTTCACTTCATCCAGAAAAAAACGAAACTCCACACCTGCTTCCATGAACATGAAGTATGTGACGGCTTGCGTCCAACTGAGCCATAAGAAATGAAACAGATCACCTTCGAGTGAAGACCGTCGGCCGCTCTCCGAAATCCACAATCGACTTGCACTGGTCTCGGAGTGCCAGCGGTGAATGGTGCTCTTGGGCACACTGAATACGGAGGCAACTTTTCTCAGGCTATGAATGAGGGGAGTAGCACCCCAACGCAGAATGGTCATGGCCAGCGCGGATTTGTCTAGGGTGAAAAAACATTTAATCAACGACCAAAAAAACAGGGTGTCCCGTTTCTTTCTGGATTGACTGGATTGACTGGAAGAAATGGATACTTCAACATGCGCATGGCTTGTGTGCGTTGTGGGCTGAATGGCGCTGAGCAATCTGGCTGAACAACGTCGACCGAGGCTTCCATTGGTATGATGAACTGTCGATGGCATGTCATGGGGCGGGCACTCAGTGAGATGGCTGGACCGGCTTGGCTGCTTGCCGAGTGCAATATGATTCGACTACTGCATCCCATTCGCTGTTCAAGCACGTAATTGTCAATTTAGCTCTGCATGTTTCCAGGGCACCCAAACCTAATCCGTGAACAGCGAACGACGAACATGCTGGGAGGGTGAATGACCAGCATAGCAAATGGAAAATATGTATTCAATAGTGTGAGGACATCTGTGTGACGGGCTTGATATTGATCAGTACTGAGCTGCCTCCAATACTTCTATCGCAACTCAAGGTCGATCGCAGCGATTGATGGAGCGGTTCTGCTGCCTCTATGCTGTATCGTGAGCTCTACCGGCAACGACACCGCCATCGAGGCCGTTCATTTGCCCTGCAACTCGCGTGAGTGGACAATCTCGACCTTGTAAGTGACTTTGGCATCGGAGATAGTCAGCAATTCATCGGGCTTGTGACTACGGAGTGGTGCCATAGTGTCGTTTTCATCATATTGGTCGCCAATAAGTAACCCCAAGGTAACTGTAGCAAAAGGAATCTCAAACACATATGAAGCGATTGCTGCAGTATCCCGGGCACCCTGAGTGAGTGATGGCAGGTGGGTGAGTTGGCGAGAAGACGCGGTACAATGGACCTGGATCGTTGTCGCGGGACTTACCGCTCTGCTCGGGGAGAAGATGAATATGCGTCTGTCCACCACATGGAGGTCAAATATACCAACATCGCTCTTGCCACTCTCAAGGTCTCGGCTGTGTCGCGACAGTCTCACTGTCGAGAAGAGCGTTGTTGTAATTGCCGAGTCGGTTCGCGATTTGACCGCCGATCCTATTTCCATGTTGGTCACCCTGCTGCTCTGCGTAGCGGTTGAAGCGCCTTTGCTCATATTCTTTCGGATCTCGGCGATCGCGCCTGTTGAATCGTGACCGAACGTGACGGTCATGTAGACGGGAACCACCAGGGGAACGAGTGCTATGCCAAGCAGAAAGTGGAAGGCCAAGCGCATCCCCGCTGACACAAAGACATTCGTGAACACTGCAAAGAGCAGGTAGATCATCGTGACGAGGCTGGAGGAATCGACGGAGCACATGGTTAGTCCCGAGCCAAGCCAAATTCTGTGCCGGTCGTGCTGTGGCATAGTGGTCCAGCGACGATCCTCTGTCTCTGCCAACGGCCTACCTCGAGCTTGCCATGATCCACTTGACCTCATAGCTGTCAGCAGGATGTGATGTGAGTCTGTGGTCAATCTACTGTCCCAGACTGGTACATTCAATGCAGTTCAACACCAATTGTCATATCTTGTGCATCGTCTTCCTTCAGAAATCGATATGTCCGTCGTTCCCACTCAACCGAGTGATACACTGCCATACTCAGTGCCTACCTGTAGCAGATCGAGTTTCGCAGCTCGACGGCATACACTGCCGAAACCAGAAATACTCCAGAGTTGAATCCTATCTGAAGGCCGCTGACGATGCTGTTGATGCTGGGGTCGGCTGCCATGCACAATGTATAGACGCTGAGCCCATCTGCGCTTGTTGCCACATTGACTGGTGACAGGATTGAGAGTATATCAAGGAGCAGGGTGATGATCTTGGTTGGGCATGAGAGGCACAGTTCGTCGAGTCAGTGTGGATTCGATCAACGTTGTTGCGGTTCATCTGCATCATCGACAACGGCACTCACAGTGTTGATCGCCAAGATGGCTGCTACAATCGTGAGCAGGAGATTGTTCGGCAGAACCGACTGCGATATCTTGGTGCTTCTGCGTATCATCAAGAAACCTGCACCCGCAAATCAGACGGGTGCGTGAGCGGTCATTGTGTGGTATCAGAAAGACAAACGACGTCGCTGCGACTCTTGGCAACACTGTGTTATCATGCAAAACAGGTGCACTGGGAAGCGCAGTCACTTACGAAGCATCTTGGATGCAATGCAGCTATGGGAGTGGAGCCCAGCGCTGTTAGCGGCAGCTTATTTTGGCCAACAGCTTCGTTCACGGCCGAGTGGCCCAACTGCACATGCACGGCACTCCAGATACACACCCTCCAATGAGCGAAATCTTGATGTTCTCCATGCCGTACTTGAACAGCCGACACAAGGCCTGAGAGGGAACTCCGAGCTCCGAGACAACCGATAGCATGCACAAGATAATGGCAAGGTGCACTGAGGGAGCGCATATCCGTGGCGGGGTATTGTGCGATAGCGGTGTATGTGAGAGGCGATGATAGTCCGTGTTGCGCAGCGATGGTTTCCAACACGAGTCACGGCGTCGAGGCCACGAGTTACAACGGGTCGTGGATGTACGATAATGTGCGACAGGTTGCTTTAATGGGAATCATCCAGCGGGCAGCACGCTCACCTGATATCACATAGAGTGAGTTGAAGAGTCGCAGTTTTTGGTGTTTGCGTGCTGCCAGGATTGTGAGGTAGAACACCGAAACGGTAGCCAAGGCGATGAGGGCCAAGCTGGCCCCAAACACCCCCCTGGAACTCAGCAGTGTCGGGTTCATGAAGACCAGCGGAGGGAAGTCCACCGGAATGTTCAGGAGCGGCGAAGTCACGTTCCAGACGGCCGTTCCAAACGTGGTTGTGTTGTAAAAATTGATCTTGTTGTTGGATGAGTTTGTAGCGTCGATATAGATATCTGCTTCATTGCTCCCGTAGTTACTGTTGTTGGCCTGGGATAGATTCAGGCATTAGTGTTTGATCTGTGGGTGTTCTGAGCAGTCAATTCAACCTAGATCGCGCATGGAAGCTGGGGCTCATACCAGTGCCACAGCTTGATACGCTCTGTTGATTGCAGCAACAATACAGATGAGTCGCGCTCCATGAGATGCGTCAGAAGTTCATTATGGCTGCTGGTTGCTCATATAGTTCGCTATTATGACTCACCCAAACAATCGGCTGCCTTGGGCTTCAACCACACGCAGTATGTTCATGGAGACGGGAATCCGATCAGCTTCTGGTGATCCGGACCTGATGAGCCACGCTCCGAGACAGACGAATGCGTACCATTATAGTCGAGTGGTCCTGTGGGTCCCATGTATGAATAGTTCAAGAATGACGAAATCTGGAGGAGAGATCGCTCAATGGTATTGGATATGATGCTGTCGATGCTGACACCGAGCTTCAAGAGCTATGTGTTAAGGGTCGTTGGCATAGATCGGCATCGATAAGTACAATAGTTTGTATCGCTATTGGTATCGCAGTCGGTATCTCCACCAGCAATTGTGCCTAGTACTGCGGTTCGATTGGCCATCAACATGGATCTGCACGTCGCCAGCCTGACTTTGCCTTTCAGCACGACTCTGCTCACTCAATACCCGTCTGTTTCGCCTCCATGACGGCCACAGAAAGAAGGCCTATCAAGGAGCATATATCCGCCACGCATCCACAGGACCAGGAACAAACGCTTACACGATCGAAGCCAAGGACAATGGAGAGCGCACAGTCGTATGTTTCCCTGATCCAGATCAGCCAAAGGCTTCTGGTCAGAGGCACGCGAAACTCCGATGATCGATCGCAGGACTGATTACTCCAGATTAAGATCGTACGTCCTGCCTGCAATTTGTCTTTCCGCTCTGAAGCTACTGCAACTTACGCTCCAACGGGCAGGAACAGTGGCTCCGGAGCGTACACATATGTCATGGTGTTGTTGTACTCTGTCCACGCAGGTGTAAGCGGAAAGTTGGATGATGGACCAAAGCTGGATGTGATTGACACATGAGTTGTGAGATATGGCAACCACCAGTATCGTGTACTGCAAGTTCGGGCCGTCTAGCGTCCCAGTACTTTGTTTGGAGAGACAGACGTTCTGGATATCCGTAGTTCATCAACGCCTTATGCAGTGCCACTCACATTACGTAGTTCCTGAGTCGGAATATGGCATTGGTAATCATAGCAATACAATGTAAGTCAACACTTGTGGTCCGGAGATAGATTTGAAGAAAGAGATACAATCGCGACAGCTCATCAAACGGTCATCGCCGCCAGAGAATCCTTACATCCCCTCGCCACTGTCACCGGGTTGAGCAAGATGAAAGCGAGCGGCGGGTCAAGTCAGAACGGTGCATGAGACCTTTGGCTCTGTCTGCAGCTCAATTCCGTCACGTTCGCACAATGCTCGCGGCGACATAACATGGCTCATCGATACCACATACTAGCTTCGTGTGTATGTGCTGTTGATGGGGCCACCAGCCTCGGGAATCAGCACGTTCTCGAATATGTGCTGATAGCCGTAGACCTCCATGACCCCGGCAACGTTGTCGTTCATTATACCCTCGTACGTAATCCAGACATACTCTTGGCTTGTGAGCATGTTGTACCTGAGCCGGAGGGTTCAAATGGATGAGAACACCTAGCAAATGCCAGATCTTGCAGGACATGTACTGCGCATCATGAATCCTGCTCCAGCGCGCACACTCAACGAATGTGTCATTCAAGCACTCTCAATGAAGTGCCTCACTTTTTGGCCTTGATTTTACAGATATATTGTGAGAGATGTCAGTATCTGTGCCTGTATGCCGATTGCGGGACAGTCATGCACTCCACGCGAAACATACCCATAGATATGCCAGCGAGATCGGAAAGATGGATGACATCCCCACTATTATTCGTGCGTTGGTCGCTGCTACCGCTTTCAGCGGCGTCAGAAAGTCTGATCCGAGCGGGAAGCGTCCATCGCCAATCTCCTGAACGGTTCCAAGCACCTCGATTCCAAGGGTGCTGGCTTGGTCAAGGAAGCTGGGGAGGAGGGTGTATCCAAATTTGTCGACATTTCGGTTCTGGGATGCAGAGATGTCAGTTGTTCTGGCGACCGTGGATCGAGAAATGCCGTAGAAGCCACCAAAATCATGGGAGCGATTGCAGCAACATGCGACCTGTGACATGGATCGCCCGTCGTTGAGAGTACGCCAGCTTACCGCAACCATGACGGCCACTCTGTGCCACCCCATTGCATGTATCCACAACGCAAAGGCTGTCGGCGATTTGAAGGATAAAAAATAAGAAGCAAGCCAAGAGCCATCCGTGGATGCGTCGCGCATAGATTCCGGTTCATGGCGTACCTCGTCCGTGGATATCCGCAGATGGAACTGTTCGGAAGGAGGTGTAGTATAGCGAGCGATCGGAGAGCTGAAACGAAGCATTATGCGACATAATCAGCAATGGATTGTGTCACCAGAAAGATACGGCTCCGCCTCTGTGCCATTCAACGACCTTTACCTCGTCGTCGATTGTAGTGGGGCTGCAGATCTACTCGTCACATGGCGGAGGCAGTGGTAAAGGGACATGGTCAGGACGAACTAAATCAAATCGCGAATCGCTGGTCGCGATCGGCGCTCACACCATATTGCGGACTGCCATCATTGTATGCACATGGAGGAGTGGCCTTTGTACAGTGTGCGCATATTGTACAAGCCCACGATCTCGTCGATTTGATTCGCTCACCGGGACATTCTGAGTAGACGCCCAGATAGACTCCAGCAGAGTTGCATCGGCCGCCAGATACGCATCACCTATGATGGCGTTGTTTCCGTCCCGGGTAGCCGCAATGGCAGCGGTCAACTGAGAAAGAAGCTCATGATCAGACACATTGGAAACATCAGCCATATCGATCTACGGCAGATAGTCTGAGAGCCGAAGGTCCGTGCTGTGCGGCAGCGACGTTTACCCCGTTGGCTGCCGAGTCGATGAATTTATCTTGAAACGAGTTGTAACCTGTGATATTGAGATACTACAGCATGATCCGATATAACCGCAGACGAGGTGAGATACGTATTGACCGAGTTGGTGGACACACCTCGATGGCGGCGCTTAACCTTCCGCCACCCATCTGCCAGCCGAAACAAGTTCGTTCCGGTCGCGACGGAAGGACAAACGCCGATGCTGCATTCGGTTGAAGTGAGGCTGTACAGGCCGTGCGATTCAATATGTCGAGAGTTCTGGGGACCTATAGGAGCATGAACCTACAATATTTGGCAAGATATCGTTCCTGTGTGGAGCAAGCGACGGGTAAGATATCGATCAAAACAGCGCGCGTTAGGAGACGAGGTTGCGCTTACTGGTGGTTGATGTTGAGCTGGAGGGCCCTGAGGCCGCTCATCCTGAGGGTCATTTGGAGTTGATGGTTCAGTTAGAGCTTGGTTCGAGCATATAGCGAATGGCTCTGGCGCACGAATTTGCATTGTTCTCTCGACAAGCGGTATTATTCACGTCGACGGGCGCGGATGCACATCCCGAACGAAACGGCGCCCCAGAAATTCGGCCCTCGAACTACGCGAGACATAAGCGCTGAAAACGTGATTCTCACATCTCTAGCGCCTCCCGGCTGGTGTAGAAATAGTAGTATGGGTCAGAGTTTGCGATGGATGGGATCTGCGCTTGGGCAATGACGCTTTCCCAATAGAGAAGGCCAATATTGATTGTTCGAGTGAACGACGCGTTCTTGTTGGGATGAACAGAGAGATCCAGGGCCAAGGCGCCCAGGGCCGCACCGGCCACCAATACAAGCGCCGGGGTGAACCAAGCTGATCTCATCGTCAGCGATGGGTTGGAGGATACCAAAGCGCAGAGATGGAGTCCATGACCTGCGCCGGGTGCGCGAGGCTCAAGAATGGGCTGGTCGCTTGTGGCCGCATTCGCCTCGAGGGGGCGGACCACGGAGACATTCGGTTGAATCAAGCAGGCCCGCTGTGGGTTTGATCGCCCCAGACACATAACGATAGTGTCGCTCGGCTATTTGCATGCTACCATCCGTTGGTCCGCCTCGAGCCTGGATCTCGCACCCAGCAGGATTGATGTTCTGCCGGATAGTGTGGAACTTTTCCGAAACCAAGTGGAATACCCTGTTTCGAGTCTGGGATTTCATTTTAGTTTCCGGATGACCCACACATATATACACCCATTGTCCGTCGTGACCAAGGAGGTGAGAGCTCAAGCGACGTGAGTCACTCAATGATATTGTTATCGAGAAACCACAGTAGTGCCCAGAGAGTCGAACACTTGCACTTCAGGAAATCGGCTGGGTATATTCAGGCTGATGCTTCCCAAATCAAAAACAAAGCGATTGTCAATCAAGACTGGACGCAAACGCACGGCTTCCTTGCTCCGACGGGAATATTGGGAAAGAATTGTCGGCATGAGAGCGCGATCAGAGCCATCTGCTAAGCTGTTCAAGGTTGGCGACGGCGCTTTCATAACCGTGCTGGGCAGCCTTGCGGTACCAGAAGACGGCGGTGTCAATGTCCGCGGCAGCACCTCGTCCGGTCTGGTAGCAGTCCCCGAGGCAGCACTGGCCCTGCCGATTGTTCTGCTCAGCCGACTTGCGGTACCACTCAAATGCTTTGGCATGGTCGACGGCGACACCATATCCCCAGCGATAGCACGTCCCAACCATGGTCTGTGCATACGAGCTGTCTTGATCGGCCGACTGGCTGAACCACTTGAATGCCTTTGACTCGTTCGACGAGATTCCCTCGCCAAAGTAGTGGCATCTGCCGATCCAAAACTGGCTATCGCTGTGACCTTCAGCGGCGAGTTGCTCGAATATGCCAGCTGCGCTGCTCTGGTCCCTCGCGACTCCGAAGCCGTTGAACAGACACACCGCCATCAGATGCTTGCAGAGCCAGTCTCGATCGGATCCGAGCTGGCACAGATCGAAGAACTTGCGTGCCGCCGCGGTTGTGGATGATATGGGAGACCACACGGACAGACAGTTGCTCTCCCAGAGGAGAAAGTCGTCTGACATGTTGTCGCGGATGAGCTTGACGCCCTTCTGCTTGTTGCGCATGGTGCCTCGGCCAAGGTAGTGCATCCACCCGAGCATGTGGGTGGCGATGAGTTTGAGGACCGGGTCGGTGGACTGGGTGCTCACTTCCTGCCAGTGGTGGAAGGCATCGGCGTCGCTCTGTTCGACACCATGGCCGATGAACGAGAACCAGGCTCGGAGGAACACGATATGGAGTCGACCATCCTCGCTGCCCTGGTCGGCGGCCTTGGAATACCACTCGATGGCAGTGGCGAATTCCGTCAGAGGTCCAGCACTGATCATCATGTAGAAAAATTGAACATTCAGCAATAGCAGCCAAGTGTATGTGCCTTCCAGGCGAATGTATTGACAGTGAATACAGCTATTGTCATGTCCAGCACAATCCACATCATGACGCTTTTGTTCACGAGCGTTGGGTGGGAGACGCCTGGGCGGAATCGATCTCAAGGAACCCTATAGAGCTGGCTGGGAACACAGCTCGAAACCGTGAATGCTGATCCCAATTCACATCCTCATTCACTCGATGCCCGGACAGCAAGGGAGAGTGGTGGTGAACGCGTTTGTATTAGCAAGGACATGGACGTTGTGGTAGCACATGCCGAGGCTGTACTGAGCATTTGCATTTCCCCGAGTAGCAGCCTTGGTAAACCACTCAACAGCTTTTGTATAGTTTTTGGTGACCCCATGACCGATTTGGTTGCAGATACCGAGGTTGTGCTGAGCCCCAACATGCCCCTGATTGGCGGCCTCGGTGAAACATTCGACCGCCTTGGTGTAGTCCTGAGTGACACCTTGGCCGTTGTAGTAGCGGTTGCCAAGCTCGAATAGGACTTCTGCGTTCATACCGAAGATCACCTGCTGGATATCCGGGTTCATCGTGGCGGTATCATCATGATATTCTTTAGCTGGACATGGTATGATTTCGATCGGGGGTGTTGGATTTCTCTCTGTATCCACGATTTCAGTTGGTACTGAAAGCGAACTCTGTCGCAAGTCAGTCAAGCGGGAGAGTATATCGGAAAATTTAGGGCGCTTGGTGGGATCTTGGCGCCAGCAGTCTTCGATGAGTGACCAAACATCGTCGGGGATACCATCAAGTCGCTTGGGGCGCTTTCCCTTCTCGACCAGCCGCTCGATCACTCGCCTTTCATCGCTTGACCATCGGCGGAAACCCAAACCGGATCGGCGTTGTTCAGTACTTCGTACATGGTGATGGCGAATGCATAGACATCAGTCTTGATCGTGGTGCCAGATGGATTCTCGTCGTCGAGCATCTCGGGGGCCATGTATCCCTCGGTGCCTCCAGTAGAACCGGTGGTTCGATTGGGGTTCATCGAAGCCGAGGTGTGCTTGGTTCTGGACAAGCCAAAGTCGGTGACAACGGCCTGGAAGGATTTGTCCAGGAGGACGTTCGCTGCCTTGAGGTCACCATGGATGATTCTTCTGGCGTGCAGATAGGCCAGGGCCGACGCAACTTGGTAAAGGAGCTTGAGTTTCTCTTTGAGAATGACGTCGTTTTCGGCAACGTAGTCACGAAGCGTGCCGTTTGGCATGAACGGTGACACCATGAAGGGAACGATCTTTTCATCAGAATCGCCCTTGTCGCAAGCACCGAGGAGCGGGAGGATGTGTGGGTGGCTAAGATTCTGCCAAACCCCAATCTCATGGTGGTAGCTGGCGAGCTCGGGGTCGTTTGGAGTGCCGAGAAGCTGCTTGATGGCGACTTGGGTGCCAAAGTAGCTGCCAGTGAATACTTCACCAAACCCACCACGGCCGATGGGGCTGGCTGAGCGGTCGGTGATGTCGCTGGGCGAGATGTACCATGGAGGGTGTTCGTCACGTTGTTTGATGATGAGTCTGCTGGTCATGATGGATGGCAGCTGGTGCGAGGGAAACGGAGGGCGACGATGGAAATATTTATTGGTTCAGAAGAAAATCTGGTGTTACGTGAACTCGCAAGCCTCCGTGTTCGAGACAAAGGAAGCTTTCCAATCCGGCAGCGTGTTCTGGTCACCAACCCGATTGTGAGGCTTGTCTGTGCTGCGCATGGTCATGTGGGGCTGACAGTGTCGCAACTTTCGCACCGCCGAGGGACTGGAACAAGGCCGTTCCCCAAAAACACACGCCTTTGATGCTCGCGATTGCGTCAGCAGGACGCTGCTCCATAGGTGCACGGAGGAGATTGTGAGAATCGGGACCCTCCACAAACAAGCCGCTCACCACAAGACTACCTGCGCCTCGACACTAAGCCGCGGCGCTGGAAAACGGCCCAGTATTTCTGTTTTTCACTCTTCCTCCAACTCTCTCCACCACCTTCAACCACCAGCGACTCGTTGTCATGTCAATCATCTCCGAAATCGACACTGCCGTGACCAATTTGCGAGAGCTCGAGAGACGCAGCCTGAGCCCGGCTCTTCGTGAGCTGGTTCGAGAGTCTCTTGGCTTGTGGACTCGCCTCAAGAGCGTCCACACCAACGGGCAGCTTTGGGGGATCCTTGCCACCCAGTCGATCGACATTGTCTTGGCACTCGTTCCAGCAAACACCGACACACCAGAGTCTGCAAAGCAGGTCCAGAGATTGAAAGAAATCCACACCGAGGTCAACCAGTTCATTGGCAAACATATCTTGCACACCCATGGTACCCAAAACAGCAACTATATTGTGGCCAGAATCGAATCGTTCAGCAAGCGGTTGGACTTGTGCTGGGCCAGTGTTGCTCTCCACCTTGGAATCACCGCCCCGATTCGCTTAAATCGACTTGCCCTTGAGCGCCTCGTCAATGAGGCCACTATACTCCGGGGCACTCCCAGGATCCCGGGTGAGAACCTCAATTCGAAGCAAGAAGCCATCCCTGTTGTGGAAGAATCTGGCCAAAACCGACCTGGTAGTCACGCCCTCAAGTACGCTGGCATCGCGGCTGCGGTCATAATTCCAGCGGTTGCCGTCCCTCTCGTCGCCCCCGCTGCCATTGCGGCGTTCGGCTTTGGTGCAGGTGGAGTCGTTGCTGGCTCACTTGCCGCTGGTACGCAATCGATGATTGGCAATGTTGCTGCAGGGAGCATCTTCTCGCTCCTCCAGTCAGCGGGAGTCATTGGTTTCTCTGCCGCTGCCAACACTGGTATGGCAGCCGCTGGAGCAGCCGCGGGTGCTACAGTCTATGGAGCCGCCAAGGCAGCAACTCCATCCAATGATAAATAAATACTGGAGCATATCGGCGCTGTTCCATTCGCATTTTCACACCAGCATCATGGTAGATGGCAGATCGATCAATACTGGCGATACACCATGGAGCGCGGGGAACGGGTGCTCGGGGAAGTCGACGGAACCAGAGCACTTGGCTGCAATACCGAACACCCAAAATGCGAGTCTCGCCAGGCGCACATGGAGAACCAACCAACCCATCCAAACAACACCATCTACGCCCAGCACCTATGGCCCACACGGATGCGCGATTTTTGCGCTGGGGCGCGGCTGGAATCGAACCTGCGACCACAGATCTTGCTGGATCCGATTCGAACCAACGGGAGAAGGGTGACCATGCGCAGCACACCTGGTCCAATCAGGATGCGAGATCCCTGCTCCTCGGCACGCGCAAACCAGGTGATACCAGGTGACGTGGCTCGGGTCCCCGCCTGCTTCTCCTTCCCTCCTCGCCCGTTTTCTCCCTCAACCCTCGCAGTCTCCCACCTTTCGCCATCACCCACCCGCATACCCCACATCCCACTGCCTCCCACATTCACCATGGCAAGCATGAAGGAGCCTGCTTCAACCACCGCATCATCTCCCACTCACCAAGCTCAAGCTGAAACCAGAGCAACCTCGTCGATGCCCGATATCACCCAATTCTCACTCGAGCACAGCCCAGATATCTTCACCATCATATGCTGCAACGACAGCTTCCAGCTTGCCCTCGATCACAGCACCATCAAGGCTCTCCTCCGAATGTGTAGGCATGTCCAGCCTCTCCTGAGCTCCAAGGTGGCTCGCTTCCACAGCTGGTGCCAGAATGCAGGCTTGTGCAATCCAGATGGACAGATGCGAATCGGTCTCACACCGAGCGACTTGATTGCCATATCGCTGCATTGCGACGATCCGGTCACAGCCGACCGATCCTGGCTCGAAGATCAAGCCGATATGGGCAATGGTGCTGCCTCGTATCTCTTGGCTCGAATGCTGCAATCTGAGATCGACTCACAAACAGACGATGACGATGAGCCTGAAGAGTACACCAACCGTCAGCAGATATTCCACCATTTGGAGAGTGCCGCCCAAGCCCAACATCCGATGGCACAGTTTCGCCTGGCCGAATGCTATCGCAACGGTGTCATGGTCGACAAAGATCACACCAAGGCCGTCGAGCTGTATCGCAATCTTGCAGATCGTGGAATCCCTCGGGCGCAAATTGCCCTCGGCCAATACTTTGAGAATGGCGAGGGTGTCGAGCAAGATTATAACAACGCGATCGAATGGTATTCCAAGGCCGCCGACCAGGGCAGCGAGGATGGTCGACTCCATATCGTGTTCCTCCGAGGATGGTTCTCGTTCGTTGGCCACAATGTCGAACAGAGCGATGTCGCTGCTCTCAACCATTGGCAGGAAGTGAGCACCAAGTCGACTGACCCAGTCATCAAACCCATCGCCACCCACATGGTCGGGTGGATGCACTACCTCGGCCGGGGCACCGTGCGCGACGAGCCAATGGGTACCAAGATCATTCGAGAGAACAAGTCGGATGAGTTCCCACTCGGGGAAGGCGAATGTCTGGCAGCGAATTGGGCCCCAATCAAGTCCGACCTACCCGCACCCCGCAAGTTCTTCGAGCTGTGCCAGCTTGGATCTGAAAGGGACTGGCTGTGCAGACATCTCATGGCTGTGTGTGTGTTCCAAGAATTCGGAGCCACAAATGACCGGGAGAAGGCAGCTGGTATCTTTGAACAGCTCGCCAACGACGGCCACAGCGACAGCCAGTTCTGGATCGGAGAGTGCTATCAATACGGCAGAGGAGTATCGCAGGACCACAAGACGGCATTCGAGTGGTTCAGCAAGTCGGCCAACCAAGGCAACTCATATGGACAGTGGAGCGTTGGTTTTTGCTACTACTGGGGATGGGGAGTCACCGAGGACCGCACCAAGGCAGCCGAGTGGTTCCGCAAGTCGGCCGAGCAGGGCAATAGAGACGGACAAAACGCTCTCGGCGACTGCTACGATAATGGCTGGGGTGTCCCTCGAGACATCGACACCGCCGTCTTCTGGTACCGCAAGTCCGCCGAGAATGGAAATAATCCTGCCATCATCAACCTCGAGGGGCTCGGCAAATGGCCCTGATTCCCAATTTCCACTCCCAAATAACCATGTCACAGCGCGAACATGCAACCAAACTGCGCCTCCCCTACCCATCCAAGACACCATGACACCAAAGAGTGGACTTGCAAAGTGATCCCGATCAAGCGGCAATGGCCGTGTAGTGTTGTATTTGGCATTCAATACATCCAATGCATCCAATATACAACAGTGCTGTCCCATAAGAACCGCTGATGTTGATCGACCGGGAGAACCATCCGATGACTCGACAATGACCACTCTATCACCACTGTCGATACTCGTTCTGCAACCATAGATGGCGAGCACGATCCAGACCATCCCACGCCACATGGTACCGACAAATGGATGGCAAAGGCGACGAATGGCCTGGATGGCAAAGGCGACGAATGGCCTGGATCCAAACGGGCAGAGGTTCGCCTCTCCAGCCGCCAAGGAAAGAAAATGGCCACACTGCAGCTTTCTGGTCCACCCTCGATCCGACCCAGGGACGCCGGGGCACGCCAGCGTATGTGGTAAGACCATGAGAGGATGAAACCAGTCCACTGTAGTGCAGCCTGGCGACTGAGAGGGGACTCTTTGAACCAAGCGTGCCAATGATCGCTTCCTCTCGATCCACAGCTGCCAGGATTCGAATGCCATCAAGAGCGACCTCGTCCGCTTCCATGCCCACCTCAATACCGGTGCCCACGACCTTGCCCAGTTTACCGACAAGGCTGATGCCACCATGGGCTACCAGTTCGAGTTCCCGATGTGGAAGGAGCTACCACTCAAACATCCTTGGCCGTCTCCTTCGAGACGAACACCTGGCATTCTCCAAGGCACTCAATACCGCCAAGCACTTCTGCCAGGCCCATATCGATACGATCACACACAGCAATCACTGCTGCCCAGATCGACAAGATCCACTGTGACGTGATCACCAAGGACGGTAGCGGACTCGCCAACCTCCACTCGTCATTCAAGACCGTCGTCGCCAAGGATACAAGGCCTTTGTGGGCTCACTGGACACATCGACGGACAGTGTCGTGTTCAGTGATGGCACTCTCATCAATCTCCTGGATGGCACACGGCGCATGGCCACGGCAGAGGACATGTTCACGACGACGCTCGAGGTCCGATACAACCATGCGGCACTGACTGCCGAACGCAACGGGGAAATGATCACGTTCCTTGTGGTTGACACCCAGAACGGCAAGTCAATGCTGCTCAATCATCGAGACCATGCTCAAGGGTTTGTTTGTCATTCGATGGCGACAAGCTCCGCGATATGAGAAGCGGCTCCACTGGTGACGATGTAACTCACCTCTTCAACAAGCTGATCAGGGCACGCTGTGCGATTGTAAGTGAGATCAAGGGCAGCAGCACCCTGAACTACAAGGCTCTCAAGCAGCTCGCGAGCAACGATTCGATCGAGTATCGCACCCTCTATTCACCGGCCTCGGACTACACGCCCGTATTCAAGGCGATCGTGGCGACCAACACCATCCCAGAGTTCAGCGCGGAAGCAAAGGCATCGGCGGACATCAGCACCCTCTTTCGCAGGATGATCATCGTCAACTTCCCCATGAAAGTGGTCAATATCCCCGAAAGCCAGCCCTCCGCAAGCGCGAATTGCGCAACGATTCACCGCTGGCAAGGAAGATCAAGACCACGAACTGGATATATGCCATGCTCAGGCTCCTCGTCGACTCCTTCCCGGAAGCTGCCGACAAAACCAAGCCACTCAGCGCCCACGACGACCTCCAGACGCCATCCACAAGTGCACGCAATTCTGCCTCTGCAACTTTGACATTGTGGAGTACCTTGTCACCAAGTGCTTCGACGTGGACCCTGCACAGAAGCAAGGCCGGATGAAACTCAGCGATATCCACACGTGCTACGCCTGGTGTGGATATGAGAGTGCCCGTCGAAACAGGAATAGTTGCCAACACTTCGCTTGAGGTCATTAATCTTGATTGATCTTGGAGTATCCACTGACATTGGGACTCCAGGCTGTGATCAGCCCAGAGGGGTCAAAGGTGGTGATAAAGTCGCACACACCAGGATCGACAGAGACAACCCCGAGATCACCCTGAGGAGCTTGGCTTCGCTCCTCTTTGGTAGTGGCTCGGCGACGACAATATACACCTTGTTGGTGCGTGTCTTGATCAGGCGGGTGTCATGGGCCAGGGGGAGAGTGAGTTGCTTGCCTCGCTCGACTCGGCCCTCGACATTGAGCTTGAAGGGATTGAGTCTGTTCCAGAAACTGTACTCCTTGACGATCTTGCCCCAGTGCTTCTTGAGTAGGACACAGGACTCTTGGCTGGCCCGTTTCTTGCTTGAGAAGTGCATGTCGAAGGGACTGGGGTTGTTGCCCTGGGTTTGCTGGGACAGGTACCGCTGCTGGTTCGAGAACCAGTTCTTGACAATGTCTCGGACTGCTTCGTCGATGAAATCGGCAGCGACACCAGTCTGGCGGATCCAGTTGTCCTTGTCGTAGCAAGACAGGACACCGACGCGCTGTCTCAGGTGCTCCAGGAGGACCGTCTTCTTCTTCTTGGGTGGATGGGGCTTGGGTGGCTCTGGAATCAGGATCTCGCCAAGGCGATTCTTCCACTGCTTGGGATACTGCTTCTGGAGAGCCTTGCGGGCAGCCATGTATGGCTCTCGCTCTCGTTTCCAGACCTGGAGTCGCTCGAGGTCTGCTCGCTGGTGGGATGAACTGACTCTGGCATAGTAGACGACGATCCTGGTTGTGATGGGCTGGGTGAGGCAGAAGACTCGCTCAATGTCCCGCACGTTGTAGAGTCTGTGTCCGTTCTCGTTGGGGCAGATGTATCGCACTTTCCCAGCATCGGCCCACTTGGACAGGGTGGATGGGACGAGGCCGAACTGCTTGATGAGTTTGTGGATGGATATGTATTTTTCATCGCTCATGGCAGACAGGGTTGTTGTCGATGCTGGCCCGCTCTTATCCTTGCCCAAGAATCAATATCAGCCTGAATCGATGCACATTATGAACGGGCCCCGGTGGGTAAGGAGAATACTCTGCCCCAATTCAGGCGGGGCTCATCCTCGTCGTTTCACTGAGAGCGGCAACTGCGAATTGTCAACGCCAATCAACGCCCGCAACGCCGACGAGAAGCATGATCTCGCCCATACCCAGTCAGATACCAAAAAGCTAACAGCGATCATAGAGTCAATGCAATCGCCCCTGAATCGAATCACCCAGAAGGCGAGTCTCGCCACATACGCATTGCGACCAGGGTATACCACAAAACCCAGCACCCATGGCCCGAACGGATTCGTGAGATCCGATGGTGCACCGCCACATCTATCCCGGTCATGCCGGGCGGGCCCAAACACTGGTCTCGCCATACACATTATTCAGAAAAAAACGGGATAATATAGCCGTTTCCATGAACATGTAGTATGTGCTGTGCTTGCGTCAAGCAAAGCCACAAGAAATAAAACAGATCACTTTGGCAGCCTCCGAGTGAAGACCGCCGGTCGCTCTCCGATCTCCACAATCGACCTGCATACTGTGATCATGTTGCGCGCCGCATTGACGTCGCGATTCCACACTGTCCGGCAGCTGGGATTCTTGCAGCTCCTGACAAAGTGGGAATTCGCAACACTGGGCGCATCGAGTCCCTCCAACCGAACTGGCTCCAGGCACTTGGAGCACAATTGCGAGGTGTTGAACTCGTTCGTCGAGACTACCTTGACGCTTCCATGATGGTGATTGGGACGGCGTCGGTGGTGCTCGAACTGCTCAAAGTACTGAGCAAATCGCTGCCTCCGAGGGCTGGATGCATAGCCCTTGCCCTGTCGCCATGACGCATTGCCAAAGGCGATCACCACATCGGTCCGTATCGGGGCGTGCTTCAGGACGGCCTTGCACATCCTGTCGACGGCCACTTGGCGCCTCTTGTGGCCCGTGAAGCGATGGTGACGGGCCTTCTTGCCAAGGTGGAAGTCGAGCTGCACTCGCAGCTCCGGTCGCAGGACATGGGTGAGATGGACCTTGAAAGCCTCCGAGGACGACACCTTGGGCGAGGGGGTGGTCGACATCCAGGTCTCGATGCTGAGTCGATACTTCATGGTGTTGTGCCACTTGGTGTTGGACGTATGGCCACACATGTGCTGGTAGTGACCATTCGAGAATGAGACCACCTCGTCTTGGTGGCCCGGTGCTTGGATGACCGCCGTGAAGATGGAGCCGACTCCAGGATCGATGCCAATCCAAGTGGTCTTGTCGGGGTCTGGGCTGCCGATGTGGGCCTGGATACGCTGCTCGGCAGTCGGAGGAGGCTCGATGGTCTCGGTGTGATCGGTTCGACACACAAACTTGACGAGGCCGATGGTGCATCCAATGCCATCGGTGCTGATCTCGTAGTTGAACAGCTTCTTGTTCACGTCCCGCTCTTGGAAGAGGGAACTACGCAGCTTGAAGCAACTGCGCCAGAGACGATCCTGGTTGTTGATGCCGTCATCGCCTTCTTCCTTGAGCATGTCCCGGGTGAGTCCAAGACGATGTTCGGTGTCAAGGAGTTGCCAGAGAGTGACGGTGTCGATCTTGACATACTTGGCCTTCGCAGTGCACAGAGGGACCATCGTGCACACGGCCGGAGGAGTGTCAAGAGTGAGCTGCTTGAGTGCCCAGTTGAGCCTGGATGCCAGCTTGTTGATCTTGGACTTGGTGGTGCCGAGCTCAGACTTGGCCGTGGTGAACCTCTTGTCGTCGGAGGGAATGCCTTGGGTAGTGAGCTCGTCCAGCTTGGCCTGGCGCTGCAGCTCGGTGACTCGGAGAGCGGGCATGTCACAGTCGATCCACTTGTGGACATTGTCGACCATCTTGTCTCGGGCGAGGATTCTCACATGGTGTGAGAGGCGATGGAGGGCCCGGAAGCGGTCCTGGTCGTTGCTGTACCGAAACTCGTCCAGGACGTGGCCAAAGTCTGGATAGAGGAACTCGAGATCGGCCTTGGGTGGAGTCTGCCCTGGTTTCTCGAAGAGCTCGAGACAGGCCTCGATGGCTTCGTGCTTATGCTTGTTGGCAGGGAAGACGGCAGCGCAGAAGCGGCGAAGGAGTCGCCAGTAGGCCAGGTCGAGGTGGGTAGTGCAGTTGGTGGCATAGGCATTGACAGCCAGTGTGAGAAGCTGACTGTGAGCACCATCAGGCAGACAAGGGGCCGGAGGCAGGTCTGCGTGCCGAGTGGTCTGGTAGTCGCGAAAGGAAGCGACCAGATGCTCGTTGTATTTCTTGGTATCCCTGGCCGTCGAGAGGGCACCGGCCTGGACAATCTTAAAGCACTGGCGAACGAAAGCAGGGGTGGAGTTGGAAATGACGGGGACGGGAAGATCCTGCTCGATGCACCGGAGGATGTGCAGGTTGAGCAGCCTGGATGCCTCGAACTGGATCTGGGTCATGGCCTCGACGGTGGCCTGGATCTTGTCGCGGAGAGCGGGATTGAGACAACAGCCATCCATCGTCTGCTTGAAGCAGCTGAACTGAGGGGCCGATGACCTTCCATCCACGAGTGGGACGACGGAGCTCTTGAGGGGCCGGTATTTGGGACACTTGCTAGTGTTGCTTCGCTCGTGATCGGTGCCATCGCACTGGCGACATCGCTTGCCGGTACTCGAGGAAGTAGATGGACCAGGCTCGGTGGGATCGACATCCATTGGATCTGCAGAAGCAGTGGTGGTGAGCGACGGAGCAACAGACGACCAAGCATGCGTGGGGTCAGAATACGAACCAGAGACAGGCTCCGACTGTGACTTGGCTTTCTTGGGCCTGGGTGGCCGAGGCTGGCCATCACCGGCACCCTTGCGCTTCGGAGGCATGGGGGCAGAGGATGCTGGATGCCTGCCAGTGGTACTGGTCAGAGCAGAGACTTTTTTTTATCGTACAATAGCGCGATGATCAGATCAAGGCGAGATGAGGGAAGAAAGCAGCAGGACGAAGGTGCGGCATTTATACCCGAGAGCAGGAGCCCGTCTGCGCGGGCTGGTTGGGGAAGTGACCCTGTTCAAAAATCGCCGAGAGGTTCAAGCCAGGGATTTGAGCGTGAAAATGGCGGCGTGATTGGGGAGCTCAACCCCAAATTGGAGGAACTCAACCCCAAATCGGTGGGGACTCAATCCCAAAGAAGTTCTCGATGGGATTGAAGTCGGGTGAAGCAGGTGGGGTGAAGATCACTGACCATCCTCGGCGCTCGATGCAGTCCAGGACAGCCCTTGTCTTGTGCATGCTGACATTGTCCATCACAACCACAGAGTCGTCTGGGAAGGTCGCTCGCTCAAAGAACTCGACCATCGAGTGTGTCTTGAATGATGTGGGGATGTACATGCGATGCAGCACACCAGAGTGGTTGATGGCAAATGCAGCCGAGACAGACTTGTGTTTCATGTGATTGCACTGGCGAAGCGGAGCACCCTTCGGTGAGTATCCGTAAAGAGGAAAAATGGATTTCCTGATCCCTGTCCCATCGACAAAAACGAATCGCCGCGGGTCGATGGAGCGGGCCTGGTCCCTGAACTGTGCCACTCGCTCATCCAGTCGCTTGGACTTGTAGAGGTGTGTTGCCCTCTTGTGTGAGAGACCTGCTCGGTGGATGGCAGTGTGGCAGAGTGAGAGTGATACTTTCCTCTGGAGGATGGACTCGAGCTTGCATCGCAACACAGGACCAGTCTGGAACGGGTCCTGTTCAATCAGGGTGCGAATGACTGGACATGCCTGCTCGAAGAAAGTGGATCTGCGAGCTGGGACCCGGGATGGGTCATCCAGCTTGCATCCTCGGTGCCATCGATGGATGGTGCTCTTGGATACACTGAATATGGAGGCGACCTTACGCAGGCTATGGATGAGGGCGTAGCATCGCAATGCGGCGGTGCGAAAGTCGGATGTGTGGCGAATGGTCATGGCCAGCGCGCGATAACATTGGGTAACAAAATATTCGATGAATGGTCAAAAACCCGGGTGTCCCGTTTTTTATTGGATTGCCTGTAATACAGCACCGAAACGGAACATCCAATGCAACTGCCAGTAACGAGGATAAAGCCCAGACACCCCACACGACCCTAGTTCACACACAGGCCAAACGAATGAGAGATTTTTGCGCTGGGTGGCCCCAAGACGCAAACGACCAACCGAAACGACCTGCAAACCAGCATTCTCACCGACATCACCCAACTCACCGTCACCGCCCGACCCATCCATACCACGCCGGGCTCACCCATATCACCCAACCACAACGAAGACCCCGGATAGTCCTTATACTCCAGATACACCAGTTAACCAACGAAACACCAGAAACGTAATCCACCACCCTGCGCACCCGATGAACAAGCCATACCAAAACTCACCGAGCAACATAGAAGCAGCCTCATCGCCCACATCCACCGACATACACACTCTCCCCCGGACACACCCGGACACCCCAAATACCCGACCACCCCAAATACTCCCAATTCCCACGAATCACCCCAACGACCCCAACTACCCCAATTACCCGGACGACCCCACCAACCACACAATACCCCAACTACCTCAACCACGACAATGATACCAATAGAGCCCAACTACACCGATAAGCTCATATGGTCGGTTCGGCCAAATGGTCAACGGCGATACCACCGTTGTGACACAAGTCGCGACGGCCTGGGTTCGAATCTCGGGACTCCATGGTGAACATCCCCAAAGGCAGATGACAAGAGTCTCTGCTTCCCTGACGACGGCGGATTACCACCACCCGACCAAGATTGGACTAACGGCGCAAGGTTCTGAAGGACCTCGGCCCAAAGCAGCTCGTCAAGCCACCAAAGGGAGAGTGCCAGACAGACGAATTAACCTCCCGGCGAAACTGAATAATGCATTGTAGACACCCCCGATAGCCTGCCCACAATGATATGTCCCCAGAAACGAGATGTCGGGCCGCGGTGGCCCTGATGGCTCGTGTACTGCAGTTGAAACCAGTGCACAATAAAGAAAGAAAAAATGGCGTCTGTAATGCATGGGTATGATACGCGACGACTGCAAACAAGCCACATTTCTGCTTCTAATCCGATACTGTATACCAACGGAATGCAGCGCCCACAACCTACTCACGCAATACCGTTGATGCAGCAGATGATCGACAGCATCGTCCCCCCATCCGACAAAAGAGTGAAGGTATGTGAGGCAATCTCTGCGAGATCCCAGGCTGCGAGATCCCAAGCTGGAGATCCCAAGCTGGAGATCCCAAGGTCCCAATCTGAGATCCCGATCCATATTCACCTTTCTGATACTCCAATCCCTCCCCAGACCTCTCAACTGTTGTCATTCGGGTGCTGGAGTTACTTTCTAGTCTCAACGCCACAGAGGAAGTCGTGAACAGCTTTATTGAGTTATAGAACACCAGCGTCGGCAAGGGAAAGGAGACATTACCGAGTCTGACTGCATTCAAAGCTCGTCTTGTTGAGAAGTATGGGCCTCCTTCGGAGCTAGCTCCTGATTGAGTCTGTGACGCCTTGTGATCAGTCGTCGATTGAGGTGTTTCAGAGGCCCGCCGTGGGGAGCCTGCAGCACCGCTTGTCGATTCATCGGATTCGGAACTGAACACAGCAGCTGAAATGGTCGATATGTCGCCGAGGACATCGGCGCCTCCGTCGTCTGTTGCATTCATTACAAGATGTGCCGCATTGGCCGGGCGATTGAGCAGTGTCTTGTATTTAACAATCCACTTGATCTTGTCGTTGACGCCTTTTATTCGTGCACCGGTTGGTGGTTACATAAAGACATACCCACCTCGCAGGGCAGGCTGTTCAGGCACGACTATCGCTGACCGAACCACGCGAAGCTCAAGCTTGTTTGGAGCCCAATGCGCGTGGAAGCTTTGATATGGCCCTGCTCGGCGGCTCGGCGGTACCAGGTCATGCAGGCCGTGGAGTTCTGGTCGACTCCCAGCCCGTTTTCGTAGCAATAGCCAAGATTCCACTGGGCATCGGAGTTGCCCTGAATCGCAGCCTTGGTGAACCACTCGGCAGCCTCGGGCAGGTTCTTCGCTCCGCCGTCCCCGGAATACAGACTCTCCCCAAGCTTGAACTGGGCGCATGCATTCCCGTGCTGTGCGGCGCGGCGATACCATATTTCGGCTCGCTGGGCGTTCTTGACGACTCCCCAGCCATTCTTGTGGCACTGTCCAAGCCAGTACTCGCTGATCTCCCGGCCTTCGTCCGCAAGTTCGTGCAGAATACCCACAGCGCGGATTTGATCCTTGGCGACTCCGAAACCGCCGAGAAGACAGATGGCCATCAGGTGCTGACACAGCCAATCGTAGTCCGAGCCGAATTTGCACCACTTGAAGAGCTCACAGGCTGCCGGACTGAGGGATGCGACGAGCTTCTGTGCATCGAGAGAGCTCTCGCCAAATTCAAAGTCCTTGGCTTTGCTCTGGCGAATCAATTCTGCTCCCTTTTGTCGGTCTCGGGGGGTGCCGCGGCCGAGGAAGGTCATCCAGCCGAGCATAAAGGTGGCGATCGGCGGAAGAGTCGGATCGTTGGTGCAGGGGCTGACTTGCACATGGCGCCAGCGATCGAAGGCCTCGGTGTCATCCTGCTGAAGGCCAACTCCGATGAGGTACAGCCAGGAGAGCTGATTGCAGGCCTTTGTGTTTCCGCCGATGGCGCTCAGTTGAAGATAGCTGGTGACCTGGTTCCAAACGGGGTCGTGCGACGGCTTGTCCTTTGACAGAATCGTGGCGACGCTGTAGCAGGCGTCGGGATCGCCCCTCTCGGCACATTGGAGCGTGAAGCGCGAGAGACCATCGGCATGGGGTGTGCTTGAGACCTGGGGTGCCGAGGACAGCGCTGGTTGGTCTGCGTGCAAGGCCAACTCCAGAGTCTTGATGATTTCAAGAAACTTTGGTCTCTGGGATGGGTCCTGGTGCCAACAGCGTCCAATCAATTGCCAGATTGGGTCGGGGATACCCGAGGGCCGCTGAGGGCGGCTACCACTGAAGGCGTGGTGCCGAATAGAGACGGGATGCATGGGCGAGCTATCGGCTGCGGTCCAGGCAGATTTTCCATCGCACATGACCTCGTAGAGCATAAAGCCAAAGGCGTAGACATCGGTCTTTTGGGTCGATCCTCTGGGGTCTCGGACATCGAGCATTTCGGGTGCAGCGTATTCGCATGGAATCGCGGCGCTTCTCCCGGGAACGATGCGGACTGACGAGCCCCAGGGACAGAGCCTTCGAAGCATGCCAAAGTCTGTGACGACGGCGCACCGACGGTCGTCGATCAGAACCGAATCAGCCTTGAGATTGCCGTGGACGAGGCCGATGACATGGAGGAAAAACATCCCTGAGGCCACTTGGTTCAGGAGCTTGAGTTTCTCCTCGAGCGAGCGAGGATGCTCGGGATCGGAGATGTATTTCTTGAGGCTGCCGTTGGCCATGAGCGGATATATCATGAAGGGCCTATTTGCCGTGTCGCAGGCCCCAAGGAGTGAGAGGATGTTGGGGTGATCGAATCCGTGCCAGCGTGCGATTTCGAGATGAAGCTCGGCGGTTTCGTTAGGAGTAAGCGTCCTCGCAAACCGCACGACCATGACCCGAGACTCATTGTACGTTGCTGCATACACTTGGCCGAATTCGAGGTCGCCGATGGGTTCCGGAGACCAGTCCGTGATTTGGTCCTCCTTGACGAGCCACGGCCCTTTGTCGACGATGCACTCAGCCACCGACTTGCCGCCTGTGCTCGAGGAGATGCTCGAGGCAATGGCAGCGGAGATGCTGCCCGCAGTTGCAGCACCGGTGATGGCCATAAGAGCATTCGCAGTCACGGAAAACCCAATGACACCGGCAGACTGGAGCAGGGCGAACATGCTTCCGGCTGCGACATTGCCGATCCATGAATGAATGATCGCGGCCATCGACCCAGCAACGACACCTTCGGCCCCAAATCCCAAGGCCGAGATAATGAAGGGAGCTGACATGGGGACCAATAGAGCCGAAGCGACAGCCGCAACCCCGATGGCGAGGCCGGTAGTCATCCTTCCACTTGTTTGTTTGCGGGCAGCATCATCTGAAAGGGAGAAACACCGATGCCATGGTGAGATGATCGAGTCTCTTGTTGGAGGCAAGGGTGCATAGAGGAGCAGTGTGTCGAAGACGGCCGTCCTTTGTCAACGGCGTACTTTACCTATGTAGCCCACAATCGCCGAATGAATGTTTGTGAAGCTGGGGCGCTCGGTTGGGTCCTGGTGCCAGCAAGACTCAATCAATGCCCAGATTGGGTCCGGGATACCCTCGGGACGTTTGGGCCGGCTGCCGTTGCAGACACAGCGCCGAATGGCGGCGGGGTGCATGGGCGATCCATCGGCCGTGACCCATGTTTCCTTGCCGTCGTTGAGGATTTCATAGAACATGGTTCCAAAGGCGAAGGCATCGGCCATTGTGCTGATGTCTGCAGGAAGCTCATCGTCGAGGATTTCAGGTGCTAGGAAGCTGATTTCATCCGACGAGGGTTCGTAAGGCTCATGGCCAGTGGTGGCGGCGGCCAAGGAGTGCCGGACTCGAGCAAAGATAGAGTCTGCAATGACAGCCTTGTTGGTGTTGTCGAGAAGAACGCACGCCGATCGGAGGTCGCCGTGGACGATCCTGCATTCGTGCAGTTTCATCATTCCGGAAGCCACTTGGCCCATCAGCTCGAGCTTGTCTTCGATCGAACGGGGCTTACTTGGGTCCGAGATGTGATGCTTGAGTGTACCATTTGGGAGATACGGCAACACCAAGATGGGACAATCGGCAGCATTGTAGAAGCCGAGGAGTGGACGGACATGGGGATGATCGACTCCGCCCCAAGCAGCAAGAGCCTCTCTGAGAGCATCTGTACCGGCTGGGCTACCGAGATTGAGGGGTCGCTTGACAATGACGGTTTCATTGCGATACGAGGCAGTGAAAACCTCACACGAACGACTGCGGGCCAAGGGGCTGGACGACCAGTCTCCGACAGCAGTGAAATCGATGAGCTTGGGCTCGGGACGACCAAGCCCGATAGGAGAATCAAACATCGGTCAGAGGAAGAAGCGGACGAGCTGGTAGCGAGAGAGCGGCGCCAAGGGGCCAAGGGATTGAAATGACAGGAGCTGGTGGCCCACGGGCGATGGACCTGGCCAGAGGGAGGTCAAGCTGGATGTTCTGGAAGAGTGGGATTTCGGAGAGTGCAGGAAACGAGCTCCAGGGATACGATGCCGAGGGACGGATTCCAGGGAAGCGGATTCGGAGGGACGGATGTCAGGGGAGTGATTCCAGGGAAAGGGTATCAGGAAAACGGCGGGAATCGGAGGCGCATTTTGTTGCTTGGCGTGTGGCTTGGGCATGATGGCGGCACGTGATATGTCCGCTGCGCAGCCACGCTCCGATCGAGCGCGGCGGATGCGTGAGGATGCTGTGGATGGCTCCTTGCCAGTTTGTTTCTGGCAACGACACCGGCGGAGGGAGGACGGCGCCATGCCGGCGATGCGCATGTCGCAGCCGCCAAAGCTGCAGCAACAGCAGAGACACACAAGTCCATGGAAGTTGAAGGGACAGGTCTGTGAACAGTGCGGCCGCAGGAGGAGATGGAGCGAGCGGCCCTTGATTCGACAGCGCCACACGGTGGCACAAACGGCCACCCGACCCCTGATTGGAGGCGGCGACTTGATACCCCTCCTTCTCCAATGCGATCTTCAACCCGGCAGCGCCCCATATCTGGCTTTCCGCCGCAGCCACAGATACCCTGCGTGCCCACACAAAGTATGCCAGACTCGGTCGGCCACTCCGATTGGATGTGTGTTCTGGAGTGTTCTGCGCAGTGCAATATCCTCGACAGCGCAGCGGTTGTGATTACTTTGATCATCGTGTGGCTTGGATATCTGAGGTATATAAGGCACACTTTGCTGGTCTCTCCGGCCGAGACACCACAGCCCACTCTCGAGTCCGCCCTGAGGTTTGCCTCCAAGTTTGAACAGACCAAAGTCTCCTCGGCCATCGCTCAGCACAGTCCAAACACCACATCCAAGCACCACATCCAAGCACCACATCCAAGCACCACATCCAAGCACCACTTCCAAGCACCACTTCCAAGCACCGCATCCAAGTGTCACATCCAAGTGCCCACGCTTGTCCGGTCTCTGCCTCTCCGTCGCATTCAACGATTTCCAAGTCGCTGTCCTCTCCCTCTCCCTCTCCCTCTCCCTCTCCCTCTCCCTCTCCCTCTCCCTCTCCCTCTCCTCTCCCTCTCCCGCCGACTCTGGCTGCTTTTGACCCCCGCTTGTCGTTGCCATCCCGCTGTTATACTTGTCTGTCCAGAATGGTTTCTTGCCCTGTTTCCGGCTGCCAGTCCCGCCAAGCGCAGAAGCTTGGCAGACACAGTGGCTGCGGTGGTGTAGTTTATGTTTGTGGTGGCGACATGGGCCACAAGTTTTGTAAGGGCTGTGGCGACAACAGAGTGAGGGCCAAGGATATTCAGTGAGAAGGCGATTCTGGATACTGAGTGAGGCGGTGATTCTGGATATTGAGTGAGATGGCGATTCTGGAATACAATGCTTAAGCCCAAAGACAACGACACCACTCCGAGTCGAGGCCATTCAGCCGCACATGAGACGCAGCCACAATCATCGGGGTCCCGGTGGGGCGGAACAGGGCCAGTGCTGCTTATTTGTTGCTGCTTGCTGCTCGCTGCTCGCTCATCACCGCTCGTTCGTCAAGCAGACAGTATCGCACTTGTTTTGGAACGCGAGCTTGTCCCGAGAGCGGATGCACAAGCGAGCATAACTGCACTTGTCTGCTCTCGATGAAGGCTGGGCGGCATCTCGATCCCACGCCTCTCGCCAGCAACCAGACAAACAATGAGTATCTGCCTCCCCGATATCGTCATGCGATCACGAATGGCAATCAATCAGCGATCCAGTGGCAATCAATCAGCAGCCAATCAGCATTCAATCAGCAGTCAATCAGCAGTCAGTCAGCCATCCAGTGGCCTTGCAGGCGTGGAGGTCAAGTTATGTTGGATCGGATCTGCTCCCCTGTACCAACTGTGGACAGCGTTGATTCACGATCGAGTCGCACTGCCTCTGCCAATCGAGTCGGGCAGCTTCTGTCAATCCCTCAACGATTGCGTGCCATCCGCCTATATTTCCGTCCAGCGCTGACCCAGTCGGTCAAGCCGTGATCGAGGCGTCGATTAGGTCCGCAAATCCTCAACGACGAGGGCAGGCAGAGCGACCATTCCATTCTGTCACAATCCATCTGCGTTCCACAATCATAGAGTTGGAAGATGCCACGATAACGGGAAAATGAACTATCTGACTCGTTCGTGGCTATCAGTCGGACCGCGACCAGGTCCATGCATGATGCCGGTCATGCGACGGAGGATGGAAGTGCCGACATGCGCTGGGAAGGGATGGATGCTTGCTGGATCAGGCGGATGGAAGCGACAGAGTGGTCGATGGTGGGAATGATGAACACGACAAGCACTTGATCCATGGATCCAGCCTGGTTCTTGGTTTGTTGGTGTTGTCTCTCATTGTTTTGTTCCGTCTCCTCTCATCACATCTCTCATCACATCTGGTTGCTCTGGACGCCTCCCTTGCCACTCCACTGCAGCTCCATTGCCACTCTCATCGCATCCCACTCCTCCACATTGCCCCCATGGCTGCCAGTGTCCATCCCACAGCCGATATGGCTCGCCTTGCCATCGACAGCCACGACCCAGACATCTTCACCATCATCTGCTTCAACGACAGCTTCCAGCTCGCACTCGACCACGCCGCCATCAAGACTCTCCTCCGAGTGTGCAAGCGGGCCCGGCCTCTCCTGAGCTCCAAGCTGCCTCGCTTCCACAACTGGTGTCAGAGTATGGAGCTCCTCAATCCAGATGGACAGTTGCGGATCGGCCTCACGCCGAGCGACGAGATTGCCATCTCACTTCACTGCGAGGGTCAACAGACGGCCGACCGAATCTGGCTCGATATTCAAGCAGATCAAGGCAATGCTGCTGCCTCGTATCTCCTCGCCCGGATCCTCCAAAGCAAAGTCTCCCGACGACAGACCGATGACTCTCCCGACTGGGACACCATCCACCAGCAAATCACCACTCTCCTGCAAACGGCCGCAGACAACAACCACCCCATGGCCCAGTTCCATCTGGCCGAATGCTATTACCAATGTCTCGGAGTCGACCAGGACCATGCCAGGGCTGCCGAGCTGTATCGCCAGGCAGCCATCCAAGGATATCCGCGAGCTCAAGTCGGACTCGGTCGCTGCTTCGAGGGAGGCGAAGGTGTCGATCAAGGCTTTGACTCAGCCATCGAATGGTATTCCAAGGCCGCCGACCAGGGCAGCGAGGATGGTCGACTCCATATCGTGTTCCTCCGAGCCTGGTTCTCGTTCATCGGCCATGGTGTCGAACAGAGCGACGCCGATGCCTTCCACCACTGGCAGGAAGTGAGCACCCAGTCCACCGACCCGGTCCTCAAACTCATCGCCACCCACATGCTCGGGTGGATGCACTACCTTGGCCGAGGCACCATGCGCAACAAGCAGAAGGGCGTCAAGCTCATCCGCGACAACATGTCAGACGACTTTCTCCTCTGGGAGAGCAACTGTCTGTCCGTGTGGTCTCCCATATCATCCACAACCGCGGCGGCACGCAAGTTCTTCGATCTGTGCCAGCTCGGATCCGATCGAGACTGGCTCTGCAAGCATCTGATGGCGGTGTGTCTGTTCAACGGCTTCGGAGTCGCGAGGGACCAGAGCAGCGCAGCTGGCATATTCGAGCAACTCGCCGCTGAAGGTCACAGCGATAGCCAGTTTTGGATCGGCAGATGCCACTACTTTGGCGAGGGAATCTCGTCGAACGAGTCAAAGGCATTCAAGTGGTTCAGCCAGTCGGCCGATCAAGACAGCTCGTATGCACAGACCATGGTTGGGACGTGCTATCGCTGGGGATATGGTGTCGCCGTCGACCATGCCAAAGCATTTGAGTGGTACCGCAAGTCGGCTGAGCAGAACAATCGGCAGGGCCAGTGCTGCCTCGGGGACTGCTACCAGACCGGACGAGGTGTTGCCGCGGACATTGACACCGCCGTCTTCTGGTACCGCAAGGCTGCCCAGCAGAAAGACCACCAGGCCCTCAACACACTCAAGCATCTCGGCGTGTGGCTTTGACCCACCATCGGCCTGTATCAATACACAGCTCCGTTTGGATCAACTCTGACACTGGCGCATCAGGTTGATCCAGCGGAAATGGCAATGAAACCATGATCATTCAAAGCTTCATGTTTCGTCTGTTTGGTGGCTCAGGGGATCCATGGACGGGGTTTCGCTTGCGTTGTGGTGCACATATATGCATGTTCAACAATCACAACTGAACGGCGATTCTTGTTTATCGTCAAGCTCTCCTTCTTGGAGCGTTGCGTCCGATCCCTTCGGTCGGCAACGCATGGCTCTCCGGTCGTCGCAAGTCTCGCTGAATCGAAAACACATGCGATGTCTCGAGCAGGGTGAGCTGGGAGGATGCCTGCGCGGTCTCGGCCACAACATCAGCAAATCCCTGTTTCTCCTTGAGCTCGTTCGACACACTCGGGATCGATGAAGTATTGTATAGGCTGTGCATCGCTGCCCGATACGTTCGTTATGAGAATGGATCAGTGTATTCACAGGTCTTATTAGGCGCCGCTTGGGCCGATATCGTGTTTGATGAGTTTCAGCTTGCACAGCTGCCCAGGGCCTGTCCTCGATCCGCGGTCGGTGCGAAGATCCCCGACGGACTCTGATTGCTGGCCGCCTTTGCCATCGGCTCGGTCATGTCCACCGCCCGCGGAGGCAGATCGAGCAGCCAACTCACGCTCATGGCCGGCAAGTTGCGCTGCGCTCGAATCTGCATCAGTTCTTGGGTCTCCAAGTCCAGATCGAGGCGCAGGTCTGTTGGGCTGAGGTCCAGGACCGAGAGCTGCGACAGCTGGGCAGCAAGCAGTCGCGCAGAAGAGAGTGCCGCGGCAGAGCTCCGTGCCATCGACAGAACTTCGATGCTCGCGATCCCAGCGAGCGAACTGGTCGATGTGAGCGAAGGGCACCGCGAGATATCCAGCACTCGCAAGCCCGGCAGCTCTTCAAGCCCGGCAAGTGTGTCGAGAGCCTGGCAACCAGACAGGTCCAAGATCTCCAGTGCAAACAGCCTCGCAAGCGACGCTGTGGTCGTCAGCTGCCCACATTGGCCCAGGTCTAGGCACCGGAGCATTGGGGGCCCAAGCAGATGGCTGTCGTGTGGCAGACGCAATTGAGCATTCTGTCTTGCAACAAGTGATTCGAGGGCTGTCAACTGTCGGAGACCACGGAGCGAGTCGAGAGAATCACACTTGGTGACGGACAGATATTTGATCCGTGCAAGCCGGGCAAACGGCTCGAGCGAGCGGAGGCCAGGGCAGAACGACACCGCCAGCTCCTCAAGCTCGGAGAGGGCGAGGATGGAGTCAAGACGGACAGCATAGCGACAGTCGGTCAGATCCAGCTTGCGCAGGCTGCCAAGCGAAGCAGCCAGTGCATCGACTGCTGGGAGATGACATGGCTGGAAGAGTTGCGGCGACAACGTTTCCTTTGCTGACGAGGGTAACCCGGGCCTAGGGAAGTCGCAGTGCGGAGCTGATTGTGCAATATCCTGGGGATTTGCTGTTGCCCATAGACTGTGCGTATCCATGGCTAATTCGTCCATCTGCAGCCCGTGTGTGTTGTCGCCAGCAACATCATCGGATCGGCCGAGTGCGAGTGTCTCCAGGCAGGCCCCATGCGATGTGGCGGTGCTTGCTCTAGTCATCCTAAACCGTCTTGCCATTGGCTGGGTCGGCACCTCGGATTCTGCCCAGGACAAAGATCTGCAGCCCCACAGATCCAGCATCTCGAGCGTTGCCAGTGCAGGGAGCGGCCCGAGTCCTTGCAGCAAGGCGCATCCGTGGCAGTTGATGCTGGTCAGTCGCGTCGACGACTCGAGCGATCCAATGTGCTTGAGGCGCCAGCACCCCGACAGATCCAAGCTCTGCAGCCGATCCAAGCCCTCGAGAGTGCCGATCGACTCGAGGGACCAGCATCCGGAAAGATCGAGGCGTTCGAGCCGCGGCAGCTGGCGATTGATCGTCCGAATATCGGACAGCGACTCACAGCCAGTCATAACAAGCTCCTCGACAGCGAGAGGAAGCCGTGGCAGTCGCAGTGACCTGAGAGATTTGCATCCAGACATGTCCAGTTCCCGCAGACACGGCAAGTCGCCCAGACAGTCGATGGAGCGCAGGCTTGTGCAGCCGGCGAGATCGAGCTTCTTCAGGAGCGACAGCTGCGCGAGCGACCCCAGCGATCCAAGCGTTGTGCATCCGCGAGCCTCGAGCCGCCGGAGTTGCAGGAGACCGTCCAGCGGGCCCACTGCCTCCAGCGACACACACCCCGAGAGATTCAGGTGGGTCATGTTGGTCATGCGCTCGAGGGACCCGATGAAGGGCAGTCGGGCGCAGCCGCCGAGCCTCAAGGCTGCCAGCCGAACCAGTCGGTCGAGGCCACCAACCCACAGCAGCGATCGGCAATCCGAAAAGTCGACTTGGACGAGTGCTTCAAGGGCGCTGAGGGAGCCCACTGTCCGCAATACGCCGCATCCGGAGCAGTCGAGGTCGGTGAGAGAGACGAGGCCATCGAGCGAGTCGACTGACTCTAGTGCGCGGCAGCCACGCATGTTTAAGGTTTGGAGCCGCGGAAGATTGCTGAGCGACAGGCTGGTGAGCGAGATGCACTCCACCAGCGACAAGGAGCGGAGCTGCTCGAGGTTCTTCAGCGGACCGCAGTGCGTCATGGAGATGCAGCGAGACAGGTCGATGACTTGCAGGCGAGCGAGGCCGTCCAAGGCAGCGATGTTGTTGAGAGAGGAGCAGCACGACAGCACAAGGACTTGCAGGGGACAACCAGGGGGCATGTTGGAGGCGTGGCAGTTGGCGCCTGGATTCGACTTGGACAGCATGGCTGCATTGGGAGGCAACAGTCGACTCGATGGGTCGGCTGTTGTTGATGCGGGAGTTGCGGACGATGTGGCGGTCCCGACCGACAAGGGGGTGTCGATGGCTGTTCTCGGATTGCGTGCTTCAGCTGAGGCCGCCGAGCCGTAGGAAGAGTGCGGTGTGCGATTGAATGCGGCAAAGAACGAGCTGGGCAGGGCCGCCAGCCGAGACGACGCAATCCTGAGAGTCCTCAGGGAGCCGGCCCAGCACCCCATCGCCGCCGGCAGCTCCGCGAGCTCACTGGCCTCGATATCAAGCTCTTCGGGCCGCCAGAAACAGGCGGTTTGAGGCAGGATCCGACACCGCCTTGCGAGGCGGTTGAGCTTGCTGTCCTCCAGGGCAGCCGTTCCGATCGAGTCCGGCAGCGTCTCTTCAAGCGACCAGTTCCAGACGGGCACTCCGGTAACGTGGGCATATTGTCGTGCCCGGGTCCATCGGCGAAAGAGCCCACGAGCGTGATGCTGGCAGAGTCGTCGAAGGGCATCCGAGAGCTCGGGGTGCTGGTGGATGGACTGCCAGAGAGGTTGCTCACAGTCGTGCGGCTGAGCGCGTCGGCGGAACAGGAAGGCGTCGACGGCAATGCAGATGTCTCGGTGGCCGTCCAGGAGCAGACTTGGTGCAAGAGACAGATGGTTGCGGAAGAGGATCTTCCAGAAGAGCGGGTCGTCCAGCAATGCTCGGTGGCGCCGCGAGAGCGAGCAGAGTTTGGTCCACTCGACGGGGCCAAGCCAGTCAATGATGAGGTAAAACAGAAGCAGGACCGGGTGTGCGGCGCCCATGGTGTCCAGTAGAGCGTCTGGACGGTTCCTCTACGGCAGGCTGATCGCTGGGCAGACGGGATTGATGGGTTGAGCCAGGATGCGACGGGTTGGAGCTGGTGAGTCTTGGGATGGTCCGTTGCGATGAGCGTGTGCCGGCTACAGTCGCGGCGGCAGCGGTGGTGCTCCGGAGCAGATGATGAACAGATGGTGATGAACAGATGGTGATGAACAGATGGTGAGCAGATGGTGAGCAGATGGTGAGCAGATGGTGATGAACAGGCTTCGGGCAGACAGGAGTCGAAGCGCCGTGTTGTCATCGGCGCGGCCGGACGGCGGAGCGCACAAATGCCACAGGCCGGCTGCGCAGCCGCGCCCACCGGGACAACACGTGTGTGCCCGCACGCTGGGTCTGTTGGCTATGAGTCAGTCATGACGAGCGAAGGCAGCCAAGTGCATCGCGCAGGCTCTATTTCATGCGACAGACACTCGATGGCCAACAAAGTCAAGGGTAATTAGACACAAATCGACAACACAACTTATGATACACAACCGACAGCCACAACCGACAGCCACAACTGGCAGCCGCAACCGGTGATCTGCAACGCACGATCCACAGCACAGCCATGTCATTCGGGCGCTAGCCGCAATGGCAGTGTGCATAGCACATATACCGGATCGCCGCCCTGTCCGCCTCGTCTCGCATCGCCGACAGCTGCTCGATGCAGCCGCTCTGGTTCTGGATCTGATGTTCCGGGCACAGAACCACGAGCCGCAGAGCCGGCAGTCGACCGAGCGGCTCCAGCGAGTCAAGCAGGCAGCATCCGCCCAGCAAAACGACCTGCAGGCTGGTCGCATGTTCCAGCGGCGCCAGGGACCGCAGTCGCGAGCTGCTGACCAGGTTGAGCCGCCCGAGGTTCTTCAGGCCCGTGACCCATTCGACATTGTCCAGGCGGTTCCAGAGATGCACATCCAGCTCCCTCAGCGATACCATGCTACCCATTTTGCTGCTGGGCTCGAGTGCCGAGCAGCCCGAAATCGAGAGTATCGCCAGTCGCGGAAGTGCCACGATGGGGTCGATCGATCGGAGGGCGATGCAGTCGTTCAGAAACAGGTTTTCGAGCCGGATCAAGCCTGCGAGCGGATCGATGCTCTCCAGGCCCACACATCCCGTCAGCGTCAGGTCGGCAAGGGCCTGCAGACCCGACAGCGGAGCCAACGAGGTGAGTTGGCAGCATCCTTCTAGGTTGAGGCTGGTGAGGGCCGACAGCTTCACAAGGGCTGTGATTGAACTGAGCGATTTGCAGCCAGAGAGACTGAGCTGGGTCAAGCGTCCGAGGCCGGCGATGGGGTCGATCGACTCGAGGAGGGAGCTGCCGGCGAGATCGAGCAGCTTCAAGGGCGGATCCAGCGAGCCGACACTCGGAGGCGGGGAATGGAGTGTCGCAACGAGACGATTCGGCAAGGAATGCTCTGGCAACGGATGCTCCACCACAGCCAGGTCGTTTGCTTCGACCGTAGGCTCATTTGGATCGCCGGCGGATTCACGAGCGGATCTGTCGCATCCGGGGCTGGCGGACTGCAACACCGGCAGCGAGGTCCTCACTGCAAAGGATTCAGGAAGGTGGGTAAAGGGGGCAAAGCACACAGCAAGCTGCTCCAGCGTCGTCAGCATGCAGCCCATCGACAGGGGCAGGCGCTTGAGGCATTTGGAGGAGATGATGAGCTTCGTTGGGTTCCAGAAACATATGGTCTCTGGCACTTCGACGAGCTGGCAGCCGTAGAGGCCATAGCTCGCCATCTCATACAGGCCCACCGAGTCCGGCAGAGTCCCATGGCGCTCCCATTCGTAGAGACGGCGGGGTCGCTCGCTGCCGAGGAGATGGGAGTGAGGCCAGCGACGGAAGAGCAGCGGCTCGTGGGCCATGCACATGGTCTTGACCTGGGCGAGGAGCACTGGGCTCCTGGACACAGCCCTCCAGAGGTGCGACTCGCAAGGGTATGGGACGCTGCCCAAGCGGTTGAGAAAGGCATCGGCACCGACGACAATCCGGTGAAGACATTGCTGGGCAGGCCGGTGGAGGGGTTGTTGCGAGCGGAGAGATTGCTCTGGACGAGATGGCGGGTCCTCCAGCGACGGAACAACCGAGAGGCCAAAGTAGTTGCGGAAGATGATTCTCCAGTACATGGGGGCCGAGAGAACCCGGCGGGACTTGCTCGAGAGAGCGCCGAGCTTGGTCCACTCGACAGGGCCCAGGTAGTCGATACTAAGGTCGACCACCAAGAAGAGCGACTCGAGGGAGGAGCCGTCGTCGGTGCAGACGCAACGGGACTGGGGACAACGCCCGCTGCAGCCAATGCGAGCAGCCATGGGCCAGAGGACAGCAGAGGGAAGTAGAGCAAATGAAGGTATCGCCGGCGGCGGTGGATGTCGGATGGATGTCGGATGAGTGTCAGATGGATGTCAAATGGGGGCGGAGAGTGGGGTGCGAAATGCGATGGACGGAGGCCGAGGAGGTGTCAAGTGGAGGGCAAATGGATGTCAAATGGAGTTCAAATGGACGAGGCACTGAGGTGGACGCAGACTGTCGAGCTTTGACAACCAAAGCAGCCGAATGCAGCCGATGGTCGATGGAGACGCAGCCCGATGGTCGGCCAGGGCAGCCGGACGAGCGGGCGGTGGGGGAGCCGAATGCCATGTCGCTCATGTGCGACCGCGACGGAAAGCAACATGGCGGGACGGGACTGGCGCAGCGACCGACCCGGATGGCTGTCGATCTTGACATTCGCAGACTCGCGATGTCGTTACGAGCGATCGCATGTTGTTCACATTGCATGCTGTTCATGTTGCATGCTGTTCATGTTGCATGCTGTTCATGTTGCATGTTGTTCATGTGTGCAAATACAGTCGCCAATGCAGGCGTTAACTCGGTCGTTAACTCAGTCGTTAACTCAGGCGTTAACTCAGTCGTTAGCCAGCATGGCTGCTCGTGCTAGGCTACAGTACCCACAAAATCGACAAAACCCGCCGTAACGACCCCCCTCGCCGATGCACAGCATGTGTACTTCTATCTGATCGATACAATGTTCACCCGTCCTCCACTGCTCTCCGATCGATACAATGTTCGTCCGTCCTCCACTGCTCTCCATCGGTTCAGTGTCCACCCATCGGCTTAGCCCCAACCCGCGCTGGGTATCAAGTGCATCGCCTCCAATCTCTCGATTCTCACTCCCCACCATCTCTCCGAATTACAATCCCTCTCGATCCATATTCCGTTCCCGCTTGCTCCAAATCGTCGAGGCTGCCCAAGCCCATACGCGCGCTCTGTTCTCGCGGCGTGCTCATGACCATGTCCCCAAGTCTCCACATCCCCTTCTGCGATATCTTATCGTTCCAAGCCATGCTCCTGGCTGTCGCTCGGCCCGGCTCGGCCCGTCTCGGCTTGTCATGACTTGTCTCGGCTGGCATCCAAACTTCTGGATCCCGGCGGCGAAAATTTGTCAGGTTGTGTCCGTCTCGTCGCTCGTCTCGTCGCCCGTCTCGTCGCTCGTCTCGTTGCCCGTCTCGTTGCCCGTCTCGTCGCTCGTCTCGTCGCCCGTCTCGTTGCCCGTCTCGTCGCCCGTCTCGTCGCCTGTCTCGTGGTTCGTTTCGTGGTTCGTTTCGTCCTCACGCCACCCACTGCGCTTTGATCATGCATCGATCTTCCCTCAGTGCTTGGGTATCCGGCGACCCCATCTCGTCTTTCTCTTCCCTCCCCCCCACCCCAGAGGCCGCTGTCGCCAGTCTCATCCGAGAGTCAATCCCCTCCCGCGAGGCGACCAGTGTCAAGCTCAGTCCCGTCTGGCCGTTCCCGTTCTCGCCACCCCCAGTCCGTCCGCTGGTATCCTATGGTGCGGGCAACTCTTCGATCACGCCATCATCTGCTCCACGACCACAAATTTGCTCGTTTTCAGTCCTTTCTCCGTCAGAGCCACCGGGCATAAATAGCCTGCCCTCACCAGAGAGCCTCCCCATCGCCACCAGCAGCGACCAAGAGCCACGAGCCAAGTACCAAGAGCCAAGAGCCAAGAACCAAGACGCCAAATCGCTTCCCAGAGATCAGCAAAACCGCTCCCCTTGAAGTCTTCCTCGATATCGACCAACTCGAAGTGACCTGTATCATCCTCAACGCCTTCCCCTCCAAGACCCGTCTCCAGTCGCTCGCCACAAGACCTTGCCGCCTCCCAAGCGCTGAACTGCATTCTGTCCTATTTGCCGCCCGCTCTCAGAGACACACTCCCCCACCGTCACACAGAGTATTATTCTCGATCCCCTTTTCCCCTGCCTGCCATCATTCGTAAGTGACGGTTGCCCAGCAATCTTGACATGTGCTTTGATGGACTGTTTGACCTGCTCCCAGTCACAGCCGAATGGCACACTCACTACTGCGTCGCACTGGTTCACAGCACCCGTCAATATGCCAGTCTCGACCGAGCCCGCTTCCACTACGTCGGCCTCACCTACGACTGTCATCATGCAGTCCAACCCAATCCAGCCTGCTCTTCTACCCGATCCGCAGCAAGGTGAGCAGGCCATAGTCGCCTGGCTCGCAAAGCTCAGTGACTTTTGCCACAACCGTCTGCCGGAGCATCAGCACGAGGAGCGGCCCGAAACGAGCTTTTATACGTTCTCCAGCAAAGAGGCCGATGCCATCAAGCTCCTGCTCGCTTCCTTGAACTGTGACGGAGACAGTAAAGCCGACAAGCGTGTCATCAAATGGTATCCAAACTACGGGTGCTTCCTCATCCGGGAGCGTCGTGACGGCGTCGTCGTCCTGTTGACGCTCGTCAGCCTCGACGGATGGACCCTTGAGAGCTCGACCGGTGGTAGTGCTGCCCGTTCCCTCTCCGAAGCTGCAGCAGGTACATTCAGTCTCATGTCCTGCGGCCTGGTGCCGGCCGGAATCGTCACCAACTTGTTGAGTCAAGTCGATACGTTGCTTAGCAACGCTCACAGTTCTCAATCGGAGTTGGGCAAGCATCTGAGCAAAAGTAAGCAAATTGCGTGGGATGCACATGGCCCCATCACCATTGCATGTACCAGCGCCTCCTGCAGACTGCCCCAACTCATGATTGCTGACTGAGCTCGCATCTCCACACCCTCCTGCCCACTCGTCTCCGGCTGCTGACAAACCTCTCCCGCGCATTTGCCCATGCCAGTCCCTCGCTTCTCTCCCTCCGTGGTTCATCTTGCCATCAAGATCGCGATCGTGAAGGAAGGTAAAATCTCCGACAACGAACCGACCTACCAAGGCGGAACCACGGACATTGGCAAGACCCCAGATCACCGCCCAAGTCGCGAGACAGCTTTCCCGTTGGTGTATGTTGCCTGCATCAACATCGTTAAAAACGTAATCTTGGCACAGCGCGTCTTTTTCCATATTCATATCCACGATATCGACCAAGAGATCGGCGCAATCGAGGGCCGTCCCGAAACCGGAGCGCTTCGCAGCAGCGTCGACCGTATCTTCCATGCCCTCGAGCGAGTTGCCGAGACTCTCTTTGATTATCAGCAGCTCGGGCTCGATATCAAGCCCGGAGTCGACCGTGTGTCGGCCATGCGCGGCAGACTCGATGCCGTAATGGACTCGTTTGGAAAGACTCTCGAAGCACGCTACAAATTCGATGTTCAGTCTCTCGTGTCCATCACCAAGCAGCCGGAGCTCCGGAACTTTCAAACCATCACGCGCGCCGTCGCCGACGACGACGCTGATCCCAGGGCCGCCGACCATGCCGCCATCGCCCAGGCCGTTCGAAAGCGTGCCCTTGAGGAGATCGAGGTCATTACTCCCTTTTACATGCCCGGGGCCGACCTCCGACGCATGTTCAGAAATGTGCTCAGTTGGATCCAACGAGTCAAGGGCAGCGGCACCTCCATTTCCTACATCATGGCTCACATTGAGCACTTCATGATGGCCCAAGCGAGGCTCCTTAAAGAGCCTGTCGTCCCAGACGAGTGGATCGAGGAAGAAGGAGAGGCGCTCCGGTCCCTCATGGAGGAGTACCAAGCTCTCTATGCCCAGCGCAGCGCCTTGGCCGACTTTGCCCACCTCCTGTTGCCGCGCCAGAGGAGTCTCCGAGTGCTGGTGACCTGGATTGCATTTGCAATGTTCCACAAGGCCGGGCTCCAGATCTGTCCGCTGCTGTCTGGCTATGGAGTGGCGATCGACTACCACGACCTGCGTGTGCTGGTTCTGGACCAAGACCACGCCCTCGAAGCCCTCGCCCTGGTGACGGAGTACCTGCGAAGTCACGACATCCCGGAGCGACGGGTCTTTTCGACCCGCCATCGAGACGACCAGGCGAACAACAACGCCTTTGCCGTCGAGTTTTCTCGCACCTCGAATGAGATCCAGGCCTTTTGGAAGCACGAGTGCGACCAGGCCAGCCAGCGTGCTGCCCAGCACTATGAAGAGGTCCGGAAAAAGGTAAACGAGGCCAACCGCATCCGCGAGAAGATCACCTCCACCTCCAGTCGGCTGGCCGAGGCCGAGGAGATACCCTACGGCATGAGAACCCACAGCGACGACAACCGCATCTCGAGCTTGAGTGGCAATCTCTCGCGGCTACGCAGCGACTTGAACGAGACCCTCAAGACCCCCAGGTCGGTCATCAACCCGTTCCCTTCTCGCGAGGATCTGGCCTTGCCGATCATATTCAACTATTTGATGCCCAGGTATCTCGTGAGACTTGCCGAAGCCGGGTTCATTGCTCAAAATACCTTGCGCCCAGAAAATAGCCAGATCTCTGGAGATAACAGGAACTTGGTTGAGATGGAGTGCAAATTGAGCGATCATACAAGTTGGACATACCACACCAACTCTCGCTCCAATCGGGCCGCCCATCTCCCGGGTCTGCCGCGCGTCGTCTATGCTGCAACTTCGACTATCCAACCTCCCAAGAAAGTCGGTCCGGCCTCGGTCGACTCGATTCACTCCCCAGGCCAGTGCTCGTGGTTCCCTGAGCAAGAGACGGTTCTCATGTGGCGCAACGGCAACCCCTTTGGCCTTTCCAGACACAGCATCACAATGGGATTCATTGATGGTATTGGCCGAGACATGTCCTGCTTCAGCTGGATGATCAGCTACCCTGCTGACCCGAATGCTCAGAAGGAATGCGCGCGCGGAAACTATGCGGTCGCCGAGCTTCACAAGCGTCCCGTATCCTTGGAGAAGCGCTCGTTCCTTGCGATGGGAGGCTTGCGGTCGTACCCGCACCAGCAATTCCGCAAGCTGTTCTTGGCCCTGTCGGACCGAGTCATGCCCTTGGACAACGAGGCCGCCCAAAGGCTCATTCGTCAGACGATCTACCAGGTCGGCGAGCTCTCCAACCACATTGCCCCCCGAAATGGTGTGGCGCCGCGATCTCGTCGATAACCAGGGCCTGGGCGGATTTCGCCAAGTCTTGGCCGACTATGTCGAGGAGATTGCCGAGAAGCCCCGGGACCACCAGAAGATCTTGATCCTGGGTGAGATATCGGCATATCTGTCCAACTTTGACGATGCCTTCTGCGACCTGTGTCGGCAGTTTGGTTCCATTGCCGGCGACTGGGCCAACCAAGCCAAAGACATGTTCGAGTCAGAGACCTCGACTTCGCTGGCTGTGCTGAACGAACACCAGGGCAGAGAGAGCTTGATGCTCTGCTATGCGATCTTGTGCTCGGTCCTTGGCCGGATCGCCTCGGTGGATATCAAGAACTACTGCCGGTGGGTCGTCCGGCTGTATTACTGCTCCATCTTTGTGGAGAACGCCAAGGTTGAAAACGCCGCGGCAATCCGCAAGCTCAAGACGCAGTGTCGAGAGGCTATCAGCCGCCGACTGCTCGCCATCAGTGACCTGGTCAATGCAAGGCGCAACGAAGCCTTGACCTATGCCGTCCAGTCCGTTTTTGAGAATGCCCCGATGATCTCGACTGGAGGGCTGTCCCGGACAGCGTCGCTTGCTTTGAGGCGGCCCACCAGAGGGACCACTACGCCGTCAATATCTTCACCGGCCGCGTTGTCCTCAACGGCAATCCACCCGGGCGACTTCCCAAGGCCGTTCTCAACGACGACCTCTACAGGCGCTCCTTTGGCAACCGCGACTTTGAGGTCGGTGTCGATGCAACCGGCCAAGTCTATCGCTCTGTTCGTACCGTCCACGGACGCTTCTATGCGTTCGAGCTCATGCATACGGGGGTTGCAATTTACGAAATCAAGCCGGATCGATGCTGCGAAGGGCCTGCGGTTGAAGCCAATGGGTCGGCCGAATGGATCGCCCGGCGTGCGGCCATCAATGCTCCTCCCGCCGACCAGGTCCTTCAGCTCATCGACCCCTCAGCGTCAAGGTCATGGACAACCACGCTGCCGGTTCGCATGCTCTCAGGCCACAGCTTCTGGCGCCATCGAGAGTCCGACTCTGTTCTGGCCAGAGGCGTTCCCTTTGAGGACAGAAATGTGAGCTTCCTGGCCAAGCCAGAGGGTTGCTTCGTTGTTCCAAGACACGACAAGGCAAAGCCGCTCGCCGAGCTCCTGGAGCTTCATACAGCCTTCGATAGGCTTATCAGCCCCCCTGCGAATGTGTTGCACACCTTGGCCAAGTTTGAAGACCCCAAGTTCATCCATGGTCACATATCGCCTGACCACCAGACGATTCGCATCATCATGCCGCGTCCCGGAGTCTCCTTCACGCTGCGTGACGATGTACTGGTATCGGACGCATACAAGGGCTACAAGCTTGCCGAGCAGCAGCAGTTTGGCGATCTGATCCCGAGCTTCCAGCAGTACCTGGTGCTCGAGCGCATGGCCAAGTATGGCGTGGGGCCTCGGTACAAGTGGATCGTTCCCCTCGGCGCTGTGTGCATCGAAGGCGATGTGGTCCGCATCCAAGTCGTGGACAAAAGCTTGGGCACCATCAATTGCACAGACTTTGATGAGCACCATCGATTTGGGTTGTTGCAGGCCAGCACCATCAATTCCCGCATTCAACTCGCAGCCATCTTTGCGGCCGCGGGAACTGCCCTGCCCGAGCCGAGGATCCATATGACTGGGGCAGAATATGCAGCGAGGCTGCTGCGTGGATGCATTACCAACAACCCCCTGACCCGAAGCGAAGTCGCCATGATCCAGTCGATCGTCGACGTTGCCAGACCCTGGCCCTTCTTGGTTCTGCTGTGCGACCACTTGCTCGTTGTCTCGAGCAGGGTCAGCATGCTTTATCAAAAGTATGCGTCCAAATCCTCCATCGATCACGATGATCGACCCGCGGGCTACTATGAGATCATTGGGAGAACCTTTGCCCAGGTCCAGGAAGCCCAGACGGCATACGAACACCAGGTGCGCTCGGCCCGTGTATACAACACCATGAGGAGGGCCCTGACCCTGACTGAATTTGGGTTTGATCTCCTCGATGAGCCTCGGCATCTGACGCCGGCCGCGACCGAGTCATCGACCGCTCTCCGGATGACCAGGACCGAATGTACTTTGAGTACATCGCCTCGATTCTGGCCAGCTACGTCCAAGAGCGCCCGTGTCAACGTGCCAACGAAATCTATCCTTTGGACGCTCATTGGCACCAACTCGATTGAAACAGGATTCTCTCGGAGCTGGAGACCAGCTGGACGAGGTACATGTCGCGCCGCGATGTCGTTGCCCGAGCCGAGGCCGATGAGCTCCTCAGGGAGTTTATTGCCAGTACACTGCTCCCCCAGGTCACCAAACGCCGCGAGGATGTCGAAGCCTTGGTGTGGTCCCACACCACCCATCGGGTCTGCCACGGATCCGTAGTTTTGGAGCTGTGCAAGGCCGTCAATTGGATCCCGGCGGCGACATTGGCGGATCTGGTGCGGGCTTCGTTCGACAGGGTCACGCTGGAGCGCCTTGCCCCAACCCTCACACCCGAGTCGGTCGACCTGCTCCAGTCCTGGATCGTTTTCGGCATGAAGCTCAGTGTCCTCGAAGACAAGCTCAATCGACTGCTCGTTTGCGACCGATCCCACCTTGGACAGGAGCTGATATATATCCAGCACCCCATCAAGGACTGCAATCGGATGTGGCTGGCCTTTGAGGTCGAGCAAGGCATTCAGATCCGCCGAGAGCAGTATCAAATGGCAAAGCATTTGATCGAGAACCCCGGGTCGATCTCCCAGCTCAACATGGGCCTCGGTAAAACGCGGGTCATCGTGCCGATGATGATCCTCTACTGGAGCGCCCACGCCAGGGAGACTCTGAGGGTCTATGTCCTCAGGGCGCTTCTGTCTGAGGTCCGCAAGTACTTGCACCGGACCCTTTCAGCAAGCTCGGTGTTTTGCATCGGCATTGTCCATCTGCCCTTCCACAGGCGCGTCCAGACGACCCATGACACCATCCAGTGCATGAAGAGTATCTGGAAAGTATGCCGCGACAGCGGGGCTGTGGTCGTGCTGTCGCCGGCACTCCCTCTCGCTCCAGCTCAAGATCCATGAGACCCGCTTTGCTCAGGACCACG